TCCCACTTCCCCAACCCTGAAGGGAAACCCATGGGGACAGCAACGAGGAGCGACCGACCGCGCCTTCCGGAAAACCACTGCTGAGCCCGGAGTGGGTCTTACAATCACCATGACAACACAACAACGAGGAAAACAGGGCAGGAGCAGGGCAAGGGGCACGGAAGGCACTGGGCCTCCATGGGTCTTAATCAGAACAGACACCAAGGGCACAGCATCTTACAGAAATGGAACTGTCATCCTTCCATGGGTGGGAGTTTGTGAAAACACACTTTTTATTCCCCCTCAAAAGCCTTCAGGCCTCAGTTGGGCATCAGATAATGGAAAAAACCATCGGGCTGAGGAGATGAGACGCACTGCTTACTCCACAAGGTCCGTGATGAGAAGGCCTGGGCAGCCAGTAGAGATTCTGTTGCCCCCAAGGGACACGTGGCAACGTTTGAAGACGTACTTTGTTGTCACAGTTGGTGGGGGCTGCTACTAGCATCTAGCGGGTGGCGGCCACGGATGCGCTCAACATCCCACAATGCACAAGACAGCCCCCCCACAAAGGATGATCCAGCCCCCAAAGCCAAAAGTGCTGAGATGAGAGATCCCTGGACTAGCGTCTCCTAGAACTTAGGAACCAAGGCTGGGCACTGTGATGGCCTGGAGTGATTTTCTAGAAGATTGTGGAAGGCAGCATCTTAGGGCAGATTTGTTACTGCCCGCCAGGGCCACCTGGTTAAGAAGGGGCTCTGTCCTGGACCAGAGAGACATGCCCTGCTTGTTCAGAGCTGTTCAGATATTCCGGGTCAAAACCAACTCAGACACATCCTGAGGCATATGGACTGCAGACCGCCTCCCTTGCCTGTGGCTTTGATAAGTATTAGTAGAGAACAGACCCTCCAGACAGACCTGCCTCCAGGGGCAAACGTTTACCTAGGTCCTCACATCTGAGACACGTCACTGTTGGGGAGAGGCAGCTTTTGACACCAGGTAGGGACGGGCAGTGGACCGAGGACAGGGCAGGTATGAGAGAAAGAGCAGAGGCTGGTGTCAGCCCCCAAAGGCCAAATTCAGGTTGGCGGGGACCATCTGGGTCGAGTCCCTGGGGGCCGGGCCCCTCCCTCAGCCTCTCCAATCTGCTTGCCTCCATCCGAGCTCCCAGCCTTTAATTCTCCGGTCAGACAGCACATTTGGATGTGGGGGACTTTACGAGGGTTGAGGGAAGACAGGGAGTACGGACAGGTCATGTAGGAAGCCCAGAGGAATATTTTTTTCCCTTTGTCACCTGCAGGCAGTCTCAGATTAACTTGCCAATTCAGAAAGAAGGCTTTAAGGGTAAGGTGGGCACAGTGACATCCTGCAGGTCAGGGGCAGTGGCGATGGAAATATATAAGCAAACATGGTCGGTTTTCCTAAGGGCATGAATTAAAAGGCCAGCCTGGGGGCTGATGCTGGAGGGGTGAAGGGCCCGGACATCCAGCTTGCCCATCCTGGCGGGAACCGTCTACCCCATGATCTAGGTCAGAGATCTCACTTGTTTTGGACTCAGGGCAAAACCTGACCTTCTTTTGGAAGCCCAAAGCAGGTGGCTGCTGAGAGAGTGTTTGGCAAGAAAATCCTGTGTTCTAGGGCCAATGACTATTGGCCTGGGGTCAGTTCTCTTTCTGTGCAGCTAGGCATGGCTGGACCTTGGAAGGACTCACCCTGTTGACTCGGAGAGAAGTTGGCTAGCTTGTTAGTACTGCAAACTCATCTTTCTCTTGAGCCTGTTTTTTTCTCACGAGACCCCTTTCTCAGCTTTGAGGCAAGACTCTAGATTTTTTCTTGGTTCTCATCCCCCACAACAGATGGGTCTCCAGGTCCTGTTGACTCAACTCCTGGAATCTCTTTATCACTACATCTGTCTCTCCCCTCCTTCAAGCCTTGGTTACTGCAATAACCTACCCATAGTTCAATGGGCCAGCCATCCACGCTCTATGCCGCAGCCAGAACATTCTTTTCCAAGCATAACTCCAATCACCTTATTTTCCCCCTTTAAAAAACACTTAAGGATTCCGCATTGTCTACCAAATAAAGTCAAAATTCCCTGACACGCCCTCCATCTCTACCCACCGTCTGGTCCCTGCCCATCTTCCCAGTGTCTCTCTCCCCACCCCCACCATCCTCAGCTTTCTAGAGCTGGGCTACATCTGAAGCCAGCCCTGATTTACCCTGCCCACCCCCCAGTCCAGGCCTTTCCTCTCACTGCTCCTGCTTCCTGGCAATCTTGTCTCCCCAAGCCCACCGGTGGGAACCCACTCATTTCTCAAACCCCAGATATTTATGTTGATTCTCAGAATCGTGTCCGTCCATATCAGATTCTAACCTTCTATAAGAGAAGAACTGTGTTTTGCTCTGTACACAGCATGGTGCTTTCTGTGTACTGGAGAAGCAAGAAATGTTATAAATTAAGTGAAAAAAAAAACTTGACAGCTTGCCATGGGCCAGGTCCTGTCACTGGGCATTTCAGGGGCATTATCTCATTTGTGGATACGTAGACTCTGAATGGTGACTTACGCATCCCATCTACCTGAACCATGGCTGCAGCACTCCCCCCAAAGAAAGATGCCTGGCTGTCTCCTCTCAGGAGTCTAGTTAACTACTTCAGCTTCTTTCACAACATGGGGTGCAGGAATTGGCTTCATAGTGACGACAGGAGAGCACTCTAGGCCGGCTTTCCTGATGCAGGGGACGTTTCACTCCTCCTGGCCAAACTCACTTTTGCTAAATGGCGTTGGAGCTACTGCTGGCCAATTCAAGGGAGAGAGGGCAATAAAACGAGTGTAACTCGGGTAACTCCCAAATGCTCAGTCAACCCTATTTTTGCTCATCTATTGTTAAACCAAATTTTGCACCTATTTTTGGCTACTGGGACTGAACTAAAAACCACCACAAGAGGGCAGCCTTTACCCACCCTGGATCAGAGCTAAACCCTAAATTGGGACTCCGCTCTCTGCCTCTAGATAGGCTCAGTACAGCCAGGCTTTGGGTATCAGGAATTCTGGCAAATGAGAGAAACACACCAGACCAGTCTCCTGTCTTCTAGACAGGAGATACGAAGCAGCTTGTGTTGCGGGGTGAAAGGTGTTTACTTAAAAAAACCCTTCTTGGGAAGAAAGATGAATGCTGCTTAGACAGTCATTTCTTTGGACTCCCTGACAAAACAAAGCGATGTTTCCAGCTGTCTGCCTGCTACCAGAAGGGCAGGGATCTATGACGAAGTCGCCTGGCACACAGTAAGTGCTCACAGGTATTTATTCGGCGATGGAAAAGCATTCACGCGTACAGCCGGATTGTAGGAGGCCAGCCCTGATCCATTCCTCTTTGACAGAGGTTGGACCCAGCAGTTGAGCCCCTGGGGAGCTAGCAACATCTTAGGAGCTATCTCCAAAAGGCTCACAGGGTTGGAGAGAAGCCCCTGGAGGAAGGTTCTAGGCGCTGGAATTGTGTTTGCAGGAAACAAGGGGTTAAGAATGGGCTTCCCTCCAGGTTAGAGAGGGGAGGCGGAGCACGGGGGGGGGGGGGGGGAGGTTGGGGAGGTGGGAGGGGGTGGCTCTCTAAACTGTGGAAGCCAGAGCGGGAGGAAATAGGATTAAGGAAGGCAGGGAGGTCATCACTGGCATGAAGTCCAAGTCCGCATGCCGGGGATGGGACACCAGCAGGGGCCGCCAGGGAGGGTGGGGAAGGGTGAGATACAGCTACTCTTTGACTTGAAGAGTCTCGGAGATTTTCCCCTCTTGGGGACACCTCTTTGGCACCCCTATTCTAAGGCCCTTCCAAAGAGGGCCAGGCACTTTCTCTGTGGCACGCTGTCACATGGAGCATCCGGAAGGAAACGCCCATTGTGCAGTATATAAAGGAAATGCTTCTTTCTATAGGACAGAACAAAACAGAGGATGGAACTGCCTGAATGCCTGCCTTCCAACCCCGGGGGCCCCAGAGCAGACCCCTCGAGGCAGCCCCTGGGGGTCTCAGAATTTCTTGGCTCTCTCTGGACACTGCTTGCCATTAAGTATAGAAGGGGACCCTCCCACCTCCTTTACTCCGAGAAGGTAAACACAGCCGGTTGCCTGCCAGGTCTTGATTTCTGCTAAAGACTCTGCCGCCCAGTTTTGACCTGAGTGGAGGATAATTTATTCCATCCTGGGTTGTGTCCTGTGGAAGAAGCCGTGGGGTGCCTTGTACGGCTTTCCTCCCCTGCCTGACCTGCTTTAACTGGCTGCCGTCACTTTATCCCCCAGGGTGAAACAGCGAGCCCCGTTTGGGGGAATAAAAAAATAGCAATGATTCTTCCTCGGTATTGTTTCCAGTTTCTACAACTTCCAAGTTTGATCCATTCATACTTTTTAGCTTCATAACATTACGACGAGGGGAAACTGAGGACAAGTGACCTGCCCAAAGTCACCTGGCAACAGAGATGGGAAGATTCTTATTTCCAGCACATGCCCTGGGACATTTCTTCCGGTCTGGTGAGTGGGACAGCCTGGGAAGGTGGTCCTGGCTGGGCGGGGTGGGGGTGGGGAGGCTGGGGAGGGGTTTTGCCCAGTCCATTAGGTGGGCTCCACTAACTTGTGCCAGAATCTAAACGCATCTCGTTCTGTGATCCCCCCTTTTGTTGGAGATTCCTCCCTTAATCATCACAGCCCCTCTCCACGCTCCAACCTTTTAGAACAGGGACAATTAGGGTCCTTCCCAGTGTGCCAGGGACATTAGCACAGACCTTCATTATGGACGCGTGAGGGACCAATACGGGCCAGGGCACGTTTCTTGGCTCCGAGGGTCTGCAGGTCACACACTTGCAGAGGCAAGAGGCCAGACGGAGAGCCAGGCCCGTCACACGCACACATAGGCATGACCAAAACGTCACCACCAAAAAGGATATGGGGGGACTTCAGCAGCCGAGGGACTGGCTCACAAAACTCTTTGTCCGGTCCTTGCAGCCTGGCCAGGGGAACCCCAGGAAACAAGCCCTGACACAAGCGACGGCCGTGTAACAGTGGTTTCATGCACCAGTGGCTTGCCCTTGGCAGGAAGGGGGGAACGGTTGTGTAAGAGCCACTGCGGATCACAAAGGCCTTGCACTGCAGCGGGAAAATGCCAGGAGAAAGCCCAAGGGCCACAGGAACCACTGAGGGGCGAGAACCCAGAAGAGGAGAAAAGGACACGGGGACAGGACGAGAGGCAGAGCGGGGCCACGGGGGTCCCGTAGGAAAAGGTTCAGCAGTGTCCACGCCGATGAAACCTGCAGCCGCCCCGCCCGGTGCATGGGACGGCCCCTGCCATCCATCTGGGCAAGAGGATCCAGTTAGGAGCTGAAAACCCTGTGGGAGGAGAAGCGGGAGGGAGTCAGCGCCCCAGGGCAAGGCTGCTCTGTGTCCTTAAAGACCCAGAGGACACCACCAAGCTCTGGGCACAAGCCTTCATCTCCTGCGTTTCCTCTGTAGCCCCAGTGTCTGGGACAGGATCTGGCATCTAGCTGGGGCTCGCCTTGAATGAATGAATGAATGAATGAAGGCTTGAATGAATGAATGAATAAATGCTTGAATGAATGAATGAATGAATGAAAGCTTGCTCACCAACACAACAAGCAAGGAAGAGGGACACGTAAGAGGCTTTGTGATACCAAAGGAATTGTGATCTTAAAGGCAAAAATATGAGTCTACTGGACAAAAAAGTATGTTTTTGAGACTGCCGTGTCATTGTAAGGGGAAAAAATGAGGATGCTTAAAGAAATAGAGTGTGTGCCCTAGGCTACTGATAACGAGACAGCTGAATTCCTACCTAATTTAACACAAAGGGCACATGGCAGTGGTTTCAAGGTGTTCCGTGGCAGGGAAGGTGGGGAGTGAGACGACAAACAAGGCTGATGTGTCACAGGATTCCAGTGAGGTTTAAAGAGACTCGTGGTGCCTCAGACTGTTTCAAGCAATTTCTAGAGGACAAGTGAAATTGTCCGAATAATACCAATTGCAATGTGCATCAGTGAGAAAGCTCCCAGCAATTTGGGGGGTGAGGGAGGTGACGTAAACGCTAGGATTATGACTTCTCAGAGGCGAGAGTCATCATTCCTCTAGGGGGTACCCCAGGTGGAAGCTGGCCTCCAAAACTGGGGTTCCCCCACTTGCGGGGGCCTCATAATTCCGTGGAAGGCTCGTGAAAACACACACTGCTGCACCCAAACCCCAGAGTTTCAGATTCAGGGAGTCTGGTGTGGCCTGGGAATTTGCACTTCTAACATGGGGTGCTGATGCTGGCAGTTTGGGGAGCCCACTATGGGAAAGCTATGGTAAATGAAGTCAGACATCCCTGCCATCAGGACCCGCAAGAGAGGGCTCTGCCCACCCTGTGACCGTGGGATGGAACCAGCTTACTCGTCCGTGTCTTTTTTGCTCTCCTCGATGAAGGCAATGGATTCAGATCTAAGGCGGTTGGTCACTTCGTACGTTCGCAGGGTGACCCCGAAAATATCCTCATGATACCGGTTGTCATCCTAGGGGACAGAAACAGCCAGGGAACAGCCTTCAAATGCCAGCCAAGGGCACAGAGAGGGGCAGACACACTGACACCCTAGAATGGAATATCCACAGAGAAGGTTCCTAAAGAAAGGAGGCGTAACCCGGTGCATCCTGGAGTACTTTTGGTCTCCAAGACTCTGTTGCAGCAAGACCCTCTGCCCTCCAGAAAGTTCTTTTTTTAACCTACTGGGGTTTAGCATCAGATTGAGAGCAAGGGCTTCTGCAAAACTGTTTGATGACTGCTTTCTTAGGGAGGCAGCAGGAAGGATGGGATTACCCCTGGAGCTTTGTAGAGGCCTGGACTCAGTTTCTTCTATTTGGGGCAGTTGGTCACACAGTTAGGACTTTGCTTGCTGGGCTGCGGCTAGCCTTTGTGCAAATCAGGAAAAGGCACCCCTCCTTCTGTTCTGGGGTGGACGTAGCTCTACGCCAAGGTGCACAGCTTGGAGACCAAGCACAGGGTGGCTTTCACTCCCCACTGGCCCCACCTGGATAGACCTTTTTGTGCAGTGCTCAACCTGCACAACTGCACAGGGCAGTGCTACCACTTGGTACTAGGCGCAGGAAAAATTAGGTTAGGAGGTTTCGGTCTAGCTACCCAGTGATCCACCCACTTATTATTTTCACACACCACGGTCCCCAACCATATTTAATACATACACCTGCATGCCCAGCCATTCTTCCTTCTCTCAGTTATGGTTTGGACCACTGTATCCTCTACCTCCAGTCATAATTGCAAAAATGGGAGCAGAGACGTTATCATGGCTAGTTATCTAGACAGGTAGGGTGAGAAAGAGGAGACAGGACTGGATGCTGGAAAAGGGACCCAAGAAGCCAGCCCGTCACTCACCCTCAGCCTGCTGATGAACACGCCGGCGTCCTCCACCGAGAGTTTCCCCTGCTGGGTCATGATGCGCTGGATGGCTTTGAGGACATCGGCGGCCATCGTGACGTCCCCACAGACGTAAATGTGGCCTCCTTGCTCCTTCAGGGCTCGGTACACGGTTTCCGCCAGCTGCTCCTGCAGGACGTCCTGCACGTACTTCTGCGGGGAGCAGGAGGACCAGTGAGAAGGAGCCAGGCCGCGGGGCACTCCTGTGTAGTTCACTGCTCCCCAGGGAGGAGCAGAGCCTGGCACAGGGGCTCGTGGGCAGGTGGTGTATTGTGTGAGGACAGAAGTAGGGGAGGGTGTGTGAATGAGCTGCTCCCCACGGTGGGCTCAGCTCTGCTGAAGGGTCTCCAGGGAGCCGTGTAGAACCCACCAGAACGGCTCCCTGGAGGGGCATGAGAGGGGGGCATTATCTACCAGCCCCTTCCTCCCACGGCCAGAGGTCGGTCACCCACAGGGTGTTAACCCCATGCAATCTAGGTGGCGGTTGGTTGGTTACCGCAGGCATGCTATGCTGGAGGGCCAGAGGGGCCCCAGGGCGGGGGGCTGTCAGCTGACACCTGTGCAAAGGCAGCTGCCGCAGCAACAGCTGGAGTCAAAGGTGCGCTAAGAGAATATGAGGGGGGCCGCAGGGGGTCCAATATGCCCTCCACAGGATTTGTCTTATCTGCTTCCCCGTCTCTAACTTGTCCAGAAACTGCCCCCAGGGGAGGCTGACATTCAGCTGCTACGGCTGGCAGGGTTGCCCTGGTTGTTAAAATACTGAGGTTCTTCCGCACCAGCTGTCATGTGGCCACCGCCCAGACCCTCTGAATGTCCCCCTCCCCCAGCTGTCCTGGCCCCTTTCCTGGAACCCCCTGGGTTCCTCCAAGATCTGGTTGGAGCGTGCTCCAGTCCTGTGTCCATTCTGATTGGTAGTGCCTCTTGTGAGCAGTTAAATATATTTTTTAATTCATGTTTTTAAACATTTTTACTGTGATAAAATACACACAACATAAAATGTACCATTTAGCTATTTAAAAATGTACCCAGTGGCATTAGGTACATTCACAATGTTGTGCAACCATCACCACTATCTAGTTTCAGAAATTTTTGTTTTTTGAGGAAGATTAGCCCCGAGCTAACATCTGCTGCCAGTCCTCCTCTTTTTGCTGAGGAAGACTGGCCCTGAGCTAACGTCTGTGCCCATCTTCCTCTACTTTATATGTGGGACGCCTACCACAGCATGGCTTGCCAAGTGGTGCCATGTCCACACCCGGGATCCGAACTGGCAAACCCTGGGCCGCTGAAGTGGAACTTGCGAACTTAACCACTGCATCACTGGGCTGGCCCCCAGAACTTTGTCACCCCGAAAGGAAACCCTGTCTCTATGAGGAGTCACTCCCATTTCCCCTCTCCACAGCCCCCAGTCCCAACTAGTCTGCTTTCTGTCCCTATGGATTGGGCTGTTCTGGATATATCATGTAAGTGGCATCATACAATACGGACTGTTAAATAATTTATTTTATTATTATTATTTTTTTTTTTTTGAGGAAGATTAGCCCTGAGCTAACTATTGCCAATCCTCCTCTTTTTGCTGAGGGAGACTGGCCCTGAGCTAACATCCGTGCCCATCTTCCTCTACTTTATATGTGGGACGCCTGACACAGCATGGCTTTTGCTAAGCAGTGCCATGTCCGCACCAGGGATCCAAACCGGCGAACCCTGGGCCACCGAGAAGCGGAACGTGCGAACTTAACCACTGCGCCACGGGGCCGGCCACCGGACTGTTAAATATTTTGAATCAGTATTTTTACTCTCCGTGCTTCCCAAAGTACCGAGCAATTTCATGGGGAGAATTCAGAAAGGGTGAGGGGCTTTCTGGGAGCGGGATGTGCCTGCGTGGACGAGGGCGCGTGAGTGTCGGGCTGGGGTGGGGTTATACAGGCCAGGGGTTACCTTTGGTTTGTCTGGCTCCCGGGAGTAGGCCGTGTACAGTTCTCTGAAGACCCCCTTGCTCTTGGCCTGTAGGGTCTCCTCCTTGTAGATGTGGTCTATCTTGGACTGCCGGCACCCGAAGACCAGGACCATGGGGCAGGGACTCATTCCTGGGGACCAGGAAGATTTCATGTCACTGACAGCTCTGATGCCTGGTTGGGGGGGGGTGTGGCTGGTGGTGCCAGGGGTGGGGTGCTGGCACCTTAGCATGTGCCACGGAGATACAGACACATGGACACCAGGGCAGGCAGGTGTACCCATTTGTATACACATGCACACCCTGAGGGAAGCAGGTAAAGTGTGTTCAGACTTTGGCAGACCCCCCCTACCCTTGCGCCCCGGGTCTCAACCTTTCCTTCTGCCCCCTGGCTACCTAGCAGCCCCCACTGGTGGGTGGCGCTAAAACCCAGGGTTTGGAGCTGGACTTCCTGGGTTCGAATGCCAGCTCTGTGTGAGGATGAGCCAATTACTTAACTTTCTGTGTCTCCATTTCCCCATGTACAAAATAGCAATGACAGCATCTACCTCATTGGGTTACTGCGAGAAATAAATGCAACACCTTAGACCTGCGCCTGGTATGCAGTGACTCCTTTATGAATGTTAGCTGGTCCACCAGAATGACAGTTCTGTGGGAGCAGGTTTTTAAAGCTGTTTCTGTCTTGTTCATTGCTCTGCTCCCAGCGCCTACACTAGCGTTTGGCATTTATCAGATGCTCAATAAATCTGTTTAACGCACACTGCAACTGCGGGTTTCTCTCTCTCTCCTCCCAAAGCTGAGCTGTTGCGTCTCTCACACAGCAAAGCCTGCTCTTGAATAACAGTCTCTGGCACGAGCCCGTAAACACATCCATTTGATAAGCCTTGATGCCTACCCCTTCTGGGGGCACTTGGACGTTAAGATGGGGTCCTATCTTAACTATCTAGGAAACATCTTCTGGGAACGGCGTTTCAGGCCCTGGGACAAGCTGTGTGGAAGGTTTGTTTGGACGGTTTCTTTGAATTACACCATGAATTTCACCTAGGTCAGGTCAGTACACGCCCCCCCCCCCCCCCCCCCCCCCCCCCCCGCCGGCCCTCCCCAGGCAGGGATGCAATAGAGAGAGGGCTCCGTCATGCCTCCAGGCTGTGGGGACACAAGCGGCCTCCCCAGGCCCAGGGGCTAGAACCCAGGTGGCTGCTGGACCATGACCCACCTTTGTGTTGGATATCAAACTGCCGCTGCTGCCAGAAGCTTCGGAAAGGGGCAATGCCAGTGCCCGGGCCAACCAGAATGCATGGCACCAGGGGATTTCGGGGCAGGCGGAAGCTGGGCGCGCTGGACAAGGAAGGCGGAGTCAGAAGGCTTGCTGAGTCAAATGTGATCAAGAGCGGCTGGGTCTTAGGTAGACCCGGTGGCCGTCTCGGGCAGAAATCCAGTGGAACTTGCAGGGGCCCCTTCTCAGGGTGGAGGGGCCCACAGATTTGGGGAATGCCAAAAACAAGAGGCCCTCAGCGTCTGGCTATCACTCTACTTCCCATTTCTTGGCGTTGCTGAGCTAAGCCTCAAAGGACAGCAGGATCGACTTTACTCAGGGTTCCCCCGCCTCGGCACGGCCGACATTTGGGGCTGCAAGCCCCTTTGTGGGGCTGCCTTGGGCAGTCTAGGGTACTGAGCAGCACCCCTGGCCTCCACCTATAGCACCCTCCAGCTGGGAAAACCAAAATGCCTCCAGACATTGCCAACTGTCCCCTGGAGGCATCTCCCCTGGCTGAGAACCCCTGATGTAACCACCCATGAGATCTCCTACAGTCAGGGTGTCACAGACTTCAGTGTGCAAAAGAACCCCCGAGGGCGTTAGAAGGGCACGGACTCTCGGGCCATGCAGTATATCTGGGCTCAGGACTATATCTTTCAGGGACCCCAGGGGATTCTGATGCTGACGGTCTGAGGACCGTACCATGGACATTCTACGCTCCGTAGTTGAGAAAGACGGTTGATCGAGGCCACTGTTCGGGGACAGAAGTTACTGGTTGATAAAGCAGGTACCTACAGTGGCTCTAGGCTCAGGTATAGCCTTTATTTTTTCTTTTCTTTTCTTTTTTTTTTTGAGGAAGATTAGCCCTGAGCTAACTACTGCCAATCCTCCTCTTTTTTTTGCTGAGGAAGACTGGCCTTGAGCTAACATCCGTGCCCATCTTCCTCTACTTTATATGTGGGACGCCTACCACAGCATGGCTTGCCAAGCGGTGCCATGTCTGCATCCGGGATTCGAACTGGCGAACCCCGGGCCACTGAGAAGCGGAACATGTGAACTTAACTGCTGCGCCACCAGGCTGGCCCCTATTTTTTATTTTCCTAAAGTTATATTTTTATTTGATTGATTATGATAAGAACACTGAACATGAAATCTACCCTCTTAATAAATTTCTAAGTGCGCCATACAATATTGTCAACCATTGGCAGGAGTACCCTTCGAAAGTGAGTTTGGGAGGAAAAGCTTTGATGGATGGGGAGGGGGTGTTGGATCTGTCTATCTCTAAGAAACTGGGGACAGTGGGGGTGTCCAGTAGAACTGGGATAGAATTTCAAATTCCATGAAGGCTGAGACTGCATCTTCCTGAGTCTCTACTGGAGCCCCAGCTTAGCCCAGCACATGCCCTTGATAAATATTTGTCGCATTGACCTGATTTTGACCAGGGGGCTTGCTTAGCTTCTGCCATGTTGCTCTGGCCCATGATCCTGTTTCCTTCACAACTAGGAGAGACGCAGAACGTTGATCTCGATTCCGTCTGACTCGGCCATCTCTCTAGAACCCTTCAGGCTGGTCCACCCACCCCAACTCAGGACATCACTATGAGGATTTGGGACAGCTGCTCATTTCTCTTCATTTGCCACTCACCCTCTCACGAAACAGGGGACCCCTTCGTCAGCCTGTATCCGGTTGAGCCAGGAGGAGCACACGCCGTGGTGAATTGGCCCTTCTCCATCTAGCGGAATAACCAAGGTGGTCTGGCTCACCCATGGCCCCAACCTTCCCGGTCACGGGCCTCCCCCCTCCCTCTAGTACAGAAGGCTCACAGCCCATGGCCAAGGTTCTGCCTGGGAGTTCCTTGTCTGGATCCCTTCCTCTGAAGGGGAAGAGGACATGGTCTAGCCGGGGTGAGCTCCTGGCCGTGAGACTGCCCAGGATCCTGTTGGATAGGGGTTGGATTCAACTCCTGCCGGCTGAAAGGGTGTGGTCACCGGGCTCTCTGGGGCCTGCTGGGATCCTGGTCTCAGAGCTCTCTCAGGCACCGTGCATTTTAATTGCTTCATCAGGGAGCAAAATACAGGAGCAGAGGTCGGGTTATCTGGCTGACCTACAGCCAGCTGGACATCATGCAGCAGAAAGCTCCCTCCTCGGAGGAAATGGGTGGGGGGGGCTTGTTCTAGTGCTGCCTTGGGGGGGACGAGGGGATGAAGCGAGTAAATGGGGGTCTCGGGGTCTGGGAGCAGAGGATGCTCCCAAATGCCCACCTCCCCTCCTTCTTGATCTGCACAGGATTGGCTCTGCTCCTTCCTCAGTTTCCTGGCCTTGAGGGTGGGTCTCTGCCCAGGGAATTGGGATCGGGCAGTAGTTTGTCAGACTCATGGAGGTCCCCCCAGAGCCCCTGCCCACCTCGCGTGCGGTAGGAGACGACGGCCACGGTGAGGTGCACCTCATCCGGGTACATGTCTGGGGAAGAACTGATGGAATAGTAACGAGGTTGCAGGAGAGACAGCTGGGTGAGGAGCAGGGTGGCGGGCATCTGGATGGACGGGAACTCCTCCAGCACCTCCACGATGGTGGGGTTCTTGCCCCATTTCCATTCCTCGTATTCCTGCAAACCCTGTGCCGAGGAGAGGGACAGAGGAGAGTTTGCACCAGCTCCTGGCACAAATTCCCAATGAGCGTTTCAGGGGGTCCGGGGAAGAAGGTAAAGAAAAATAGTAGCAATTAACACACAGTAATTATTCTACGCCAGGTTTCAATTCTCACAAGGACCTTATGAAATAAGTATGATTGTTGTCCCTATTTTATAGATGAGGAAACTGAGGGATATACAGGTCACACGGCTACGAGGGGGTGATACTGGGTTTTGAATCTAGGTCGGGGGGTGGCAAACTTGAGCCCGCAAATCTGGCTCACCACCTGCTTTGTATGGCAGAGCTACAAGTTGTTTTCACATGTTTAAATGGTTCGGGGAAAAGGAATCAAAAGAAGAATACTATTTCATGACAAGAATACGATATGAAATTCAAATAGTGTCCCGAAATAAAGTCTGATTGGAACCCAGTCACACCCACTCATTTATAGATTGTCTATGCTGTTGTGCTACAATGGCAGAGCTCAAGGGTTGTGACAGGAACCAAATGGACCATGAGCCTAAAATATTTACTACCCGGCCCTTTATGGAGAAGGTTTGCTGACCCCCCGTCCTGGGCAGTCTGGCCCCAGAATCTGTGCTCCTGACCATTACACTCTCCTGCTGCGTGTGAAGGGCAAGAGAGACGCCCTGTGGAGGAGTCAGGACTTGCAGGTAGAGAATGCAGACCTGCGATTTGTGGTTTGTAAGGCTGGAGGTGCATCCTGTGAGAGCCTGGTTCCCATTCAAGATGGGAACTGACGGCCCCCGAGGAACAGGTTAGGTTGGGGTGCAGAGGACCATGTGCAGGGGCATGCTGAGAGCCAAGCCCAGCTGTTACCGGGGAACAGAGGAACCCTCTGGGGCTCTGGGGTTATTTTTCCTACATCTCAGAAGCTGCCCTGGGCAGTCCCGTGTTGCTTACAGGAGGCTCAGATTATGAGGAGGGGCAAAGCCTATTATAGTGCATTGTATCACAAAGCCTTTTCCCACGTTCCTAAAGACCATCCTGGCTTTACTGATAGGACATGGCATCCTTGAGAACGCGCCTCCCAGACCTGCGGCCGCGCTGACCTCCACCTGCAGGGGCGCAATGGAACACGAGCCCCAGCAGCTGCTCTGGGAAACCGACATCCACCTGAACCTGACACTGATCCCCTGGGTCGGCCCTTCCTCCACTGGACGTGCAGTCCCTGACACCTCCATTCAAACTCCCTTCCCTCTCCTTCCCCTGGGGTCGGACTTGTTTTGAGGTCTGACGGTCCTCCCAGCCTTATCTGACTCTTTCCCATTTTTCTCTCACACAGGTGCTTCCCCTAATAAAAATCCTTGCTCATTTAACCCCATCTTGGAGTTCGTGCTGTTCGGAAGACTAATACATACAGTTAGATCAAATTCTGCTTTAAATAATACCATGCCAGTAGTGCAATTTCTGGCCCCTCTTCAAATCAGCCTCCCCTGTTAATCTAAAATTTTGAATCAAAGTTATACGTGTACATAGTTTAAAAAGCTAAATAATTCTGCGAAACGTGATGAAAAATAATGCTCTCCTGTTCCATCGCTCCCGTGTGTTTCCAGCTCCCCAGAGGTAACCACTTGCAATTCTTCAAGTGTTTCTTTGGGTGTTTATTTTCATATTTCTAAAGAACACACACTCCCTGAATTAGCCTCTTCCTTACTGCCCGTCATGCAGTCCCCGCCTTGCACAGCAGAAGAAAGCTGAACCGTCCTGTGCTGGTGGCTTCCTTACTGGGGAGGACCCGCCCCCTGGGAGAAGCCTGGGTGGTCTTCCCAGGTTGGATTCTTCCTGAGCAAGGCTCTGCAGCAGCCTGGGGCAAGCGAGTCCTTGGTTTCTAAGCAAGGATGATGGAAGCTGTGTTTTTTTGGTTCACCTCACCATCAGAGGCCTCCTATACGTTGAAGTCTTACCTACAGCTCCTCGGCATTGAAAAAGGCTGATTTTTAAAACAGGGCACTATGGGATTCTCTCTGTTTCTGTTTCTTCTAAGCCTGAGCTCAGATGGAACCAATGGGAGCTCAAGGGTTCCAAAGGAAGGAGGGAAAAGAGTGAGAACAGCAATTTCTATGCACCACGGAACTTTGAGATTCGAGGGGGTCACTCTTGTCCTGTTACACCTTAGTTAGAACGAGGGGAGATGGTCAGGACCAGCCAAAATGGACTAGCCAAGATGGCGACCTTCTACAAACTAGAACCCGGCAGCCCTTGCTCAAGGCTGCCATCTGCTGGAAAACTGCTGTAATCAACATGCAACTCTCCAAGGACTAGGACACGAAAGGCGCCCCCCCGAGTTGCCTGAGGCCAGGGGCCCACCTTGCTGAGGACCAGCAGACGCTGCTTCTCTTTCTCGCTCGTGGCCAGGGAGGCGAACTGCTGCAGCTGGAGCGGCGTTGGGGGTGTGGTGATATCCAGGTAGTACTTGAAGGCCTGGAAGATGGTGCAGGGCGGGAGGCGGTGCTCGTCCGTCCAGTTACTGATCACTCCTGTGGAGGCACGATGGGGGCGAGGGGTGGGTGGGGGCACAGAGGCTGAGCTCCGAGGGTGTGGCTCCAGGTCGGGGAGGGCTGCCCGGCTCCAGGGGCCGAGGATGGGGCTGGCTGAGCCAAGCAACCCCTCGGCTATACCAGGGGTCCCGGGGACTACGGGATCCCCTCCTGGTGCAGGGAACCTGCCCATAATCACTGGAGCAAACTAGTCCAAAAATTAAAAAATAAACAAATATTACAATAGCATGAGACAGTCCCCTGGCATTCTACGCGGTAAGCTGTCAACAGAGCATGAGATATGAATCTATTTTGGCTCCGCCTGTCCTCTCCTGGTGTCAGCCTCCTACCCCTCTGCATGCTGTTCTAGTGTTTACAATTAGAGACATGCTGAACTCTTACCTTGCACTTTCTATATGCCAAGTATTATTCTCAGCCCTTTAATTATTAACTCATTTAACTCTCACAACAATCCTAGGTGGTGGGTGCTGTTATTATCCCCCTTTGGCAGTTGACAAAAATGGAAGCAGAGAGAGGTTAAGGAATTTGCCCAAGGTCACACAGCTCACAAGCATGAAGTCAGGCAGTGGTGCTCCAGACCTTGTTCTAATTACTATACAGTACTGCCTCTGTGTACTTTTCAGTCAATATAACCCCAAAACACAAGCTTCTACTTCATCAGGGGCTCAACCTGAGCTAAAAGTACTGTTCCAACACAGAGGAAGAACTGGCTGGGCTGGATTTATTAAGAAAAGGTGTGCCTCTCCAAAGTGGGGTCTTTCGAAGGGATTTTTCAATAGGGCTTTGACTTTGTATTATTTTCACATTCTGCCCTGGCTCCTTTGTCAAGGTGATACGTCACCGTATCACGGGCTGCCAGGTAAGGTCCACAAAGTTCCTCATACCTGAGCCCTGAGCTCACTTTGTACCTGCGCCCACTGAGACGAAGCACTGAGCCCCACTTGCCATAGAAAGTTCTTCACTAGGAAGGTCAAGGACGGTCACTGAAACAGGTTGGAACTTGATCTAATGAGGTCAGAAATGTGGTTCAATCCCTAGCGGGCCACCGAGCTTCATATGGTGTCACTGGACTCTAAGAGGAGGAGGGGGTCAGACTTCAGCTGCTTTCTACGCAGTGGGCAGTGGGCGGTGGGTGGTGGTCAAGAAGGAAGGATGAGTGGGCACTACTAAGATCAGTTTCTAGCTGATGAAGGAAGGGAGAAGCCCCTCTCCCCTAATGATGAACCATCGATGTCCTGGCCTCATGGACATTGACTGAGCCCATTGGGCTAAGGTTGTTCGGTCATGAGAAAGGGGGAGTCTTCAGTCTCAGAAGCTGGAGGCGACAGAGACCCACTCGCCTACCTGGATTGGTGATGGGGAAGAATGGGTCTCCACTTTCCTAGCCTCCCATGGCCTCTGGAACTCCCTGGAGCAGGGAAGGGCCCTAGGGAGCCGCCAGCGGGGGGGCGCCCGGCCCAGCCATAGTTACCCAAAGCCGTGTTCCGCTCCTCCAGGAGCTCCACTTTGACCAGCTGGTTGACAGGGGGTGCGTCCTCCAGCCGCTCGATCAGGGCGTTCACGAGGTCCTCGTGGTTGCCGGGGAAGACGCCCAGGTGGTCCCCGGGCTGGTACTGCAGCTCCTGATTCCCATTGGTGTGGAGACGCACGAAGATGGTTGATCGGCTGGAGGGAAGGGTGGGGAACAATCGGATAAGGGCCACCTGCTCGCGTCCCCTTTCCTTGCTCCCTTGTCTGTCCTTATGGCTGCAACTTCCCTCCTTCCATTCTTGTTAGGGCCCATGCCAGCCAGACATCTGCCCCCATCATTCCATACCGTGGCTTTCAGCAAGCTCACTCAGGAGCTCCCCACGGCTAATCCAACAGCCAGTTCCCAGTGCTCATCTTGGTCATTGAAGCGGCACTGGACATGGCCGCTCACTTCCTCCTTCTCAACTCCATTCTCTTAGATCCTAGCACGCCAGGCTCTCCTGGTCCTCTCTCTGGCTGCTCCTGATCAGTCTCCTTTGCTGGTTCCTTCTCAGCTCCCCTAACTCTAGACATTGAAGCACCCCAGGGTTCAGTCTTCAGACCTCTTTGCTTTTCCATCTTCCTGCTCCTGCCTTTTTTTTCTCCATAGCACTTACCATCCTCTGACCTCCTGCAGAGTTGACTTCATTATCTGGCTTGGCATCTGTCCCCCTGCCCCTCCCCCAGCCCCCAGGACAACTTAAACTCTAGAAGGCAGAGAATTTGTCTGTTCTGTCCACGGCTCTCTTCCTGGCACCTAGGACAGTACACGGCACATAGTAGGTACTCAGAAACATTTGTCGATTGAAAGAATCTCAGACTCCCAGGATTAACCACCTGCCAGAACAGCTCTGTTCCCAGTACCAATTGGGGCTCTCTCAGGAGCCACTACCCCATTGGAGCCACAGGCAGTGGTGTCCCCAAGCGGTGAAATTCCATCTCTCCTAGGAACCCCAAGCTCCACCCCTGTTTGCAACAGTGGAGTGGGGGTCCTCAAATTGTCATGGAAAAGGGAAAAGGACTTGGTCTCAAGCTCGGGTTCTTGTTATACACAAATCCACTGAGATGATAAAATCAAGAGATCTAAGGAGAAAACCCAGAAAGAAACTGGTTTCTGCCTGCTGGGTCATGCCCTTCCACATTGAGTTTTGTATTTCAGGTGCAGGAGACCTATGCTAAGTGAATGGCCTTCAGAATAACTTCCCAGACTATGATTATTCTGGTTCTTTAAAAAGTTTTAGTACAGATATACTGCATTTCACACAACACCTGAAATCTCGGGGATCGATCACACTTTGGTAAATCAAATCCTCTGTACTCTTTGAGCTACGTTTGCATTTCTGATCTGCCTTTCCTTTCCTGCCACCTGGTTTTCAGTTCATTTAGATCCTTGATACGAAACACGAAGTTTCCACATTCTCCGTGGGACGTGAATCAAACTTGAATAGACCCATGGGACTCGCTATTTAAAGGAGTTTTGGGCATAACCAGGAGCCCTTTTGTGCTGCAAATAGCCACCATCATTAAAAGTAGTTGTGCTGGCACATTCATTTTTTTGGGGTGTCAAGTATTTTTTTGAAGCAAGGCGCCCCTGTCCTGAGAATGGTGGGGAACTGGTGGCTGAAACTGTGAATGGTGGTGTTAGGGTCTGGGGTCCCCCTCTCCTTCCCTGGGCAGGTTTTGCCGTCTCTGGGACACCGATCTTGTCGACCACACAGACTTGCATGACTCATGCGGCTCTGAGCTCACATCAGCCTTTTGGTTCCTGGAGAGCCAAGGAGGAAACCCGCGGAGGCCGACGGCCAGCAGGGGGCGCTGTGGGGCCGCTCATGTGGGAGCCGCCGGAGCGAACCCCAGGCAGCCTTGAAAGGCCCCGCAAATCAATTCCCACTTTCTCCCGGATCATCACGATTTCTTTCAGAAGTATATTTGCCTCCGTTCTTTTGGCGGGTACAAAATAGAAACGCGGAGGACCCGAACTTGCTGAGCTGGCTCACGCTCGCAGCCACTTCCTCCCAGTCCTCGTGGACGTGGCAGAAGGTGGTCAGGCAGATAAGGGGCAGGCACGGGGATGCAGCTGGCAGGGGAGCTAGAAGGGGGCCCGGGCTCTGCCCGTGCTGGCAATTCAACCAAGGGGACTTCGCAAGCCGCCCACCAGGCATGGCTTGGTGAGAACCCAGCACTGAATGGCCGGGTGGCCCCGGGGCACTGTGATGGGCCGCTCCAGGAACGTCCCCAGGAGGAGGCGATCCCTGGGGGGGCAGCGCTAGCCTGGAGACCAATTGTCTTCAACCTTCTGCTGGGGGTTTCTAAGTATAGGATTTTTTTTTTTTTTTTTAAGCTTGGAATACATACGGGCCATTGAGAAGAATCAGGGGAGGAGAAAGGGCAGAAGTCGGAAGGCAGCAGCCACCTGTGCCCTCTCGACCCCTCGGCCAGAGTATCCGCTGTGTGTGGTGTGTTTACATCCACATACAGGAGCATCTCGCACACACACACACGTGTGTGCACACGCACTTGGCAGTGGTTCAATGACAGCTTCACAGATGGAAGAACAGTCTGCCGATGTCCAGCATTAAACGGAAAAACAATAGTTGATGTTCATTCGTCAACGGAAAGAGTGAACATTGTCCCCTGTGAGCAGTTTGAGTCAATAAGGTTCATGCATTCAACAAATTTCTTTTTTTTTTGGTTTTGAGGAAGATTAGGCCTCAGCTAACTACTGCTAGTCCTCCTCTTTTTGCTGTGGAAGCCTGGCCCTGAGCTAACATCCGTGCCCATCTTCCTCTACTTTATAGGTGGGACTCCTACCACAGCATGGCGTGCCAAGCGGTGCCATGTCCACACCCGGGATCCGAACCAGCGAACCCCGGGCCGCCAAGAAGCGGAACGTGCGAACTTAACCGCTGCACCACTGGGCCGGTCCCAACAAATTTCTGTTGAGTGTCAGGCACTGTTCTAGGCACTGGGGAGAGAGTGATGGATAAAGACAACAAAGCGCTCTGTTCTCATTGAGAAGTATCCTAAAATGCTCTCAGATGGGGTTGGTGATGTGGATGGGTGGGCGGTGATGGGCTAAGTGACCATCAGACGGGATGGTCAAGGAGGCCTCTCTGGTGATTTGACATCTGAGTAGAGACCAGAACAATGAGAAGGAGTGGACATGCAAAGATCTAGGGGAAGAGTGTTCTAGAAAGAGGGAGCTGCATGTGGAAAGACCCTGAGGTAAGAAAAAGTGTGGTATGTTCAAGGAAGGGAAAGACGCTTGGTGTGTTTGGAGAGTGGTCAGCGCAGGGTGGGTGGTGGGAAAAGGAGGTCAGAGAGCTGGGCGGAGGCTAGATCACGAGGGCCTCCTCGTCATGACCTGCCATGGCAAGGAATTTGGAGGTTTCCCCAGGCCCAGTGGGAAGCCACTGGAGGGTGTGAAGCTGTGAAGTAATAGGGTTCAATTTACATTTTTAAAAGATGACTCTCGCTGCTGTTTGGAAAATGGATCTTTGAGAGAAAAGCCAAAGAACAAGGGGAGACGAGCTAGGCGTCTGCTGCAGCCACGCAGACCAGACGATCCTGGCTTTGCTCAAGGCGGCAGCCTTAGATCTGAGATGTGGTTGAAAGACAAGGCCCACCACGCCAGCTGAGAGCGATGTGCATGGGGAGGGAGCCGGAGGAGGCAAGGAGGATGCCTGAGTTTCTGGCTTCCGGCAAATGTCCATGTTGAGATGGCGAAGGCTGGAGAGACGAGTTTTTTCCAGTGGAGACCTTACTCCCTTGTAAGGGCCCCCGCTCTCAAAGACACCCGGTGCTCGGGCCCATCCTGCATCTTTGCTTCTGCCGGTCTCTCTTGCTGCAAGTCCTGCTCTGTCTCATTGCCCCTCTGAAGGCTAGCCTGAATCCTCCTTCCTGCTTCTGGCTTCCGGGACTCACGCTCCATACCCCACCCCCGAGCGCTCCATTACACTCTCTTCTGTATTGTTGGCTAATTGGTGTATGTAGAAAATTTATTTCCTGGCCAGGCAGTAACAGTGATCACTTTTCTCTTTAGATTTGCCAGGATCACCCTCAAAAAGCTGTTTACTTCTTAAGCATTTTGCTTGCAATTAAGGGTCTCTGGGGCGGGGGAGGGCGTTGAGTTGTGTTATCTTGCTTATGGCTTCCTGCCCGACTTTGGCCTTCGGCGGGGGAAACGGGAGACAGTCTTGCTTTTTCATGCCATTCTCCTCTTTTTTTTTTTAAAAAAAAACAGCAATAAACCTTATAAAGCTGGAAATGGCAGCAAGCCTGAGAATAGGTAGTGCTATGGAGCATGCTTTTATTTATTTACTTTTTTTGAGGAAGACTGGCCCTGAGCTAACATCCATGCCCATTTTCTTCTACTTTATATGTGAGATGCCTGCCACGGCATGGCTTGATAAGTGGTGCGTAGGTCCACACCTGGGATCCGAACCGGCGAACCCCCGGCCACTGAGGTGGAACTTTCAAACTTAATCCCTGCGCCACCAGGCCAGCCCCTAGAGCATGCTTTTAAAGAGGTCAACACCTAGACACAATTTGATCCTTTTTGTGTTAGTCCATAACTGATTTTAATACCATCTTCCAGTTCCTAACCTTGCTCAAATAGTCCCTTGTAAGTCACTCAGCATAGGGCCAGCTGCCCTTTCCAGAAGTGGGGGGGGGGGGGGGGGGGAGGGTTATTCTGGGAACTTGGTCCAACCCAGCCTTAAAACATTTGCAAATTATCTTGCTTTTTATCAAGTATAGCTTAAGGAGTAATTTTTGTGATCTGATCTTTCACAGTTTGTTGCTGAAAGAAATTTCCAGTGAATTCTTAGTCTTTCCTCTTCCAACACTACTTAAGTTGTACCATTCCACAGGACAGAAGTGGGAAGAGAGATGTGTTTTTCACATCCACTGTCCCTCTATATCAGAGGTGGTTATGCTCTGAATATGGCATTTAATCATTCAGAGGGATTCATTTTCCAATCCAGTTCTTTAATGTTTGAGGATCTAGCAGAGAACATGAGAGCTCTGGGGCTCCGTCCTGTTGATCATTTTATCAAAGGTTTGAAGTCCACGTGGAAAGCATGCATATCAATTCTGCAGGTGTATGAAGCTGGGATGCATAAGGAACAGTGATGGGAACGTATGAAATACTAGTTGCTTTGTGTACATCATCTTTAATACTTACAGCAGGCTTGCGATGCTGTGGAAGCCACATGTATAGTCATTTGGCATGCTGACTTTGGTGTCAGAGAATCGGGTCAGTGTGACCTTGAAAAAGTCACTTGTATTTTCTAATGGTCCCTTCTCACATTAAAAATGTGGACGATAATGGTGCCTACTTCCTGGGCTGGTCAGAAATTATGGGTGATCCTGCACTGAGAAGACTCAAAATGGCGCTCGGAACACAGAAAGCACTAGATCAATGTGAGCAATCTTTATAGCCACCATTCTCATTTTAGGTAAGGAGACAGGGGCTTAGAGTACCCAAGTGGCTTGCCCAAGGTCACACAGCTGATGCATGGCAGAGCTGGGGTCAGAGCCCAGGGCTGTCCAGCTCGAGAACCCACTCTTTGTACTATGCCATGCAAAGAATCAAGATTTCAAAAGATCTTCACGGGCTGTAAACGCAAAGTGAAAAAGATTCTGTTCCACAGGGATCGATGCAAAGACTTTCATTAATGCTAAAAAAAATTACTTATCCAGGCAGGGGGATGGACAGACCCGGCTGGACCATTCGGAGAAGACTTGATGTCTAACAGCAGCAAAGACATGAGCTTAATGGGAGAGCGACCTGCCTGTCAGAGCAGCTCCTGTGATCGCGGGCAGCATCAGCGTGTCCTGTACGGATCGGGGATGGTAATAATAGCCTCAGTGCGCTCAGCGGCAATCACAGGACCTCCACTGCACTGTGACCAGGTCTGAGAATGACACTTCCAGCAGGACAGCCTGTGTCCTTTTACTAAAGCACAAGGCTTGGGAAACCAGGTCCGAGGAAGGATGATTGGAAGGAACCCAGGAGAGACTGGTCAAGGTCATTGGCTATTTGCATGTCTCTCATTAGGAAGAACTGAATTTCTTTTGGGTGGCAATGGAGAGTGTAACTAGGATCAAAATGAAGTGCTAGGAAGAGATGCTTTGGCCATAAGCAATAGTAAGATCATTTCTAGCAATTAGGACTTCAAAACACAGAGTGGGCTGTTTTGTGAGGCAACAAGCTTCCCGTCATTCCAAAGGAATTTAAGCAGAGTCTGGGTAGCCATTTTGCAGCTCTCCATTGAATAAATAATTATCCACAAAGAGGAAACGCCTGGACTAAGTGATTTCTGACTAAGATGCTATGGCATGATGAACATTAGCCGTTCAACAAGGGTGTGGTCTACGTTAAGGATTCTTTGCAAACCCTTTCTCTTTCCTCTTTCCACAATGATCATCACGCTCTCCTTTTCCCATCTCTCCGGGTCAGAGCTTGGCAAAGAGAAAGCAGAAAACCCAGATGCTACAAAGCAGCAAGGGGGGCTTGATGACACTTGGAATGGTCTGGAATTAGGGAGCCAGCCCTCGGAGTCAACAAGGGCTCCTCCCTCATCGTGGGGGGCACCTGGAGCAGAGGTGAGTAGCGCGATGCTCCTACCTGGATTTAGGACTCTGAAGGTTTTGGCGGCTGAGGAGTCGAGCGGCTGAGACCCGCTTTTTGTGGACATTGGATAGACCTACAGGGAGAAAAACGACAGTCTTCCTGAGATGGGTTAAACAGCTGTCAATAAAAAGTCTCCTGCTTCTATGGACCCTCTACGCACACTTCCAGTGTCCTCTGGAGTGAGGGGAAGAAGTAAAGAAAAGAGGTCAGGCAGGCAGTGGATGGGGTGGGTGGGGTAGTTGTGGCTAATGCAGAACAAAAAGCAAATCTGCTTGAACTGAGTTGAGAAGAGGATGGTTCGAGGTAACATGCATACTGGTGGAGAGAGAAGCTTCAAGCACATGTTTTCCTGAGTAGGGGGCAGGAGCAGCGTATTCATTTTGGGAGGACGGCACTAAAGGGGGAGCGGGCAATGAACCCCACCTTCTCTAAGTGCCTTTCAGAAGCGAGAGCACCTGTCTTTTCCCCATTGCCATGAATGCCTCCCTGGGAGGGTGGTGGGAGGTACCTTGTGTGAGTTCCGGAGCTTCAGCCACATAGGTGAGGCGGAACTTGTTCCTCTTCCAGCTGCGGTCATTGCTGATGAGGGAGTTGTTTGCCTTCTCAATGTTGACATCGTCTCCCACGCAGAACACATCGCAGGCCGCCTGTGGCACACACATGGCTTTCAGTGATCTCTTTCAGCCCAGAGGGACTCTTCCCCAACAACTCCAAGTCATGGCATATCTCTCCATCCATCCACCCATCCTTCTATCCATCCCTCCATCCCCCTACCTACCCACCCACCCTTCCTTTCATCCATCCATCCATTCACCCATCCTTTCATCCATTCCTTCATTCCCCTACCTACCCATCCACCCTTCCTTCCTTCCTTCCATCCGTTCATCTATCCATCCATCCATCCACCCACCCATTCATCCATCCATCCACCTAGCCATCCATCCACCCACCCACCCATTCACCCATCCATCCATCCCTCCACCCACCCTTGCTTCTGTCCATCTACCCATCCCTCCATCTCCCTACCTACCTACCCACCCACCCTTCCTTCCGTCCTTCCATCCATCCATCCATCCACTCATTCACCCAGCCGTCTACCTACCCATCCATTCATCCATCCACCCACCTCCCTACAACCCAATCATCCATCAATCCATCCACTAATCCATCCTATATGTTTTGAGTGTCTTTGATGTGCTGGACATAGCACATTTACTATTGACTTTAGGATGTAACCTCTATTTAATATGTAAGTCTATTATGTCATTTGTTCCTAAAACCAACATGTGTAGAGGCTGAACATTAAACAGGAAAGTAAACACCTTGGCATTTCCGATCCATCTTCCTCTAAAGATTTAAAAAATTATACTAAAAGCAGAATACACTGAATGTTTGAGTACCAGCATATAAATTTTTCTTTTTCTTTTTGACAAGTTCATAAGTTCTCCAACTTTAGTGACCCTAAGAATTACTGTTTGGACTTCAGGTTTCTTGAGATAAAGCCATGGATAGATAATTCAAAGGTTTTCAAGGGTGGCTTTTACCAATTTTTGGCCTCGTGTTGATTTTCGGACAATCCAAATGTCTATCAACTGATGAATGGTGAACAAAATTTAGTATCTACACCCGATGGCATATTATTTGGCCACCAAAAGCAATGAAGTCCTGAGATGTGCTACGATGGGGATGAACCTTGCAAACAGTATGCTAAAGAGAAAGAAGCCAGTTACAAAAGACTACATATTATATGATTCCATTCATATGAAATGTCCAGAACAGGCAAATCTATAGAGCCAGAAAGTAGATTAGTGGTTGTCAGGGCTGGGGGTGGCGTGAGAGGATGGGGGCGATAGCTAAAGTGTTCATGGCTTGTAACAGGTCCGGCTTCTGGGGTGTTTGGAGTTTGCTGATAGAACCACACAATTATCTCAAGGCATGAGAAAGCCATGTTATCTCGACTCTCCTTGTCTACTGACACAGCCTCCCCGCATAGATATCCTTACAGGTCAGGGGCCTCAGTTTCCCCTTTTGCTCTCTACCTGCATTTGCGTGCAGAGTGAAGTGTCAGCTGAGTGACAGGAGGTTGCATAGTCCCCTTTCTCCTGGGGCCGCTGATGAGAATACATCCCAGGGCCCAAACAGGAGCAGGGAAAGGGGGTGGGTCCACACTCCTTGCCTTTTTGTGTGTCCAGGATGGCCAACTGAATCATGTCCCACATGCAGAGAGAAGGCCGCTATTTATTTACTCTCTTGTGACCTCATATCTAGAATAGCGTGTTGGACAGGATGTTCTAATGTGACGGAAATGTTCTATGCTGTAATATGGTAATTACCAGTCACTTGTGGCTACTGAGCACATGCAATGTGGCTAGTGCAGCCAAGGAATGGAATTTTTAATTCTAGCTAATTTATATATAAAATTAATACATAATTAAAATATAACATATATTTATATAGTTATATTCTCTCTCTATATTGTTTTATATATGTACAGTCTTATGTATATATACAGAGAGAGAATTCATATAACATAAAATTCCCCACTTAAAAATATATAATTCAGTGGTTTTTAGCATATTTGCAAGGTTGTGCAACCATCACCACTATCCGGTTTCAGAACATTTTTGTCACCCCAAAGAAACCCTCTACCCCTTAGCAGTCACTCCCATTTTCCACTCCCTTGAACTGCTAGCAGTCACTAATCTGCTTCCTGTCTCTCTGCATTTGCCTCTTCTGGACATTTCACATAAATGGAGTCATACACTATGTGGTCTTTTGTGACTGGCTTCTTTCACTTGGCACCATGTCTTCAAGGTTCATCCACGTTGTAGCATGTGTCAGCACTCCATTCCTTTTTAATGGCTGAATAATATTCCATTGTACAGACACACTACATGTATTTATCCATGCATGATATTTAATGTTAATTAGTTTAAATTTAAATTTAAGTAGCCACAGGTGGCTAGTGGCTGCTGGATGAAGATCCAGCACAAGAGGAATCAGCTTGTCAAAGTAGACAAATTGGTGAGATCTGAGTTCCAGGTCGTGGCATGGCCTCCCGGTTTGGTATCACCAACTCTGTGTTTTCTGTCTACTTGTCTGCCAAATGTGAGTGACGGAGGGATTCCTTCCAGCCCTGAAATTCCAAGACTCCGTAATTTTGTATAGACTAACTCCTTACCCATAATGCAGGAGTTTGGATTCTAGGTAGAAAACGTGTGTTTTAAGACCACCCAAAATCATCTGAGTTGTTTAAAGCTGTACCCTGGCTGGAGAAATGTGGGAAGTCCCGGGAATTCCCTCAAGTTTCTTCTACTTCTGATGGCTTAGGCACTTTGTCTCTGGGGGTCTTGCGGGGCACGACTTCTCCTCCGGAGTCTCTGAGATCTGAGCGATGGTTACCTTAAAGACCTTCTTGGCCCAGGTCCTGAAAGCTTCTTCCTGCCCACAGAGCTCGTCGCCTTCCCTCATCTTCAGGATCCTCTCTCCTCCCAGCTCTTCCAGGAGGGTGTCCACGGCGTGTCCAAAGGCGCAGAAGTGAGGGTAGGCCCGCGAGCCAAGGCCGAACACTGAGAACCTGCCGAGGAGACAACAGAAGTTCATGCCAGGGGACTGTGGGGCTGTGGGGGGTGTCAGGTGTTATGGACGGAACTATGCCCCCCCGTCCCATATATTTAAGTCCCAACCCCCAATGTGACTGTATTGAGAGATGGAGCCTTTAAGGCGGTAACTGAAGTTAAAGGAGGTCAGAAGGGTGGGGCCCTAATCCAATAGGACTGATGTCCTTGTAAGAAGAGGGGGAGACACCAGAGATGTTCTCTCCCTCCCGGCATGTGCAGAGGAAAGGCCGTCTGAGGACACGATGAGAAGGCAGCCATCTGCAGGCCAGAAGGAGAGGGCTCACCAGAAACCAATCCTACTGGCACCACGATCTTGAATTTCCAGCCTCCAGAACTGTGAGAAATAAAGTTCTGTGGTTGAAGCCACTCAGTCTGTGGTATTTTGTTATGGCCGCCAGAGCAGACTCATACATCTGGTATCTCCAGAGGGACTACGTTTAGCCCACGGAGGTCAGGCAATCCCAAGGCCCCACTGGGGAAGGCCATCTTTAAACCTGGGAGCCCCCGAGGCCTCTTGTCGCTTCCTTCTGGTCTCTGCTAGGTTTTACTGTCCTCAGGAAAAAATTCCCCATTGGTCCTAAGGAGGGTAAGTTAGGGATGGCAATGACCTGGAACCATTGGCTGTTTCTTCCGTGTCCCTTTCTAAGCTGGACTCATTGGGGAAATGAGTCTACATTATCAAAAGGTTTGAATTCTACAAGTTTTATAATTCTAGCAAATGAGATTAGTTTTAAGTACAAAGATAATGAGAACTGTCACATAGAGGTCCTCAGGGACCTGTATTAACGAGAAGATCAGGAGGACTTGTCATTAACACATCAAATGTTGGTGTGTAAACAGGTTCTTCTAAAAGCGGGGGAAGATTTACAAATGTGCTGGCTCCGCCCCTTGCAATGTCCGTGAAATTAATTTGCTTCACAAACCCTCTTTGCATAGATACTGTCAAGAAAATGTTGGTGTTTGAAGCAGTGGGAGAGAAGTTGATAGGATTTTTCTCTGCGTGGAGGTGGGGCTGCTTTGACTGAAGTCTGGGAAGTGGAGGGCCATGTCCCAGGTGGACCTCTTGCTAATTCACAGTCCTACAGACATTTTGTGTCACACTTCTCGGGCTTGGTCCCGGCTGTGGGTCTTGACTTCATTGAAACTGGAGCGATGAGTTCACAAGTGGGACAAGAACACTCCACCCCACTTCTTTCCCAGGTCGGTATGTTCTGCTGTAGACTGTCACCTCAGACAAGCCAAGGTGTGGAGCTGTTCAACCATCCCATACAGAGGCTGCCTCTGCCCCTGAATCTCTTTTTAGGGATCATGGGGCCGAGGTGGTGACAGATTGAGACGGGGGGATGAGGGAAGGAGGTGGGGGAAGTTGGGAAGGGACTCTCTGTCACTGGAGAATGAACTTGAGATGGGTCCAGGTGTCTCACAGGTCAAATGAAGGTTAACATGGGTCAATACCACACCTTTCAAATCCACAGTCATGCTTTCTCATTTCACTCTCCGCTTCTTTCCGGCCCTCCTTTCCCTGGGGCTCTGGAGCCTTTCCAAGGAAATGATGTGGGATTCAGCAGTGTTTCCCCATCACTCCTCCACCCATGATCTTCCTGGAACTGGATAGCTCACCTTTCCTGCAGGGGGTGGCCTGACTGGTAGAGAGAGCTGGTGCCGCAGGGGACTGGTCAGAGGGGTGCCAGGAAGGAGCACTTCTGCCCCAAGCCATCCCCCTCAGCCTTCGCCGAACACCGATCTGGAAACTCCCAGTACTAGTCAGGCCTTGTGGTCAAGGCCTCGTTCCCCAAAACTCCAGTATTCATGTTCATGACGTCTGCCATACTTGAATCCCACCATTACTGTTAGTTACTTGTTAGCACCATTTAACTTGCTTTTAATTTGTACTCACTGGTGCATCAAACCCACTTGTGTTCACTAACAGATGGCTCAGGTGATTAACTCATTAATATGCTTCCCGACGCACTGGAAGGCCCACACCACAGCCACCTCCCAGATGGACATTGCCATCGCATTCTTCACCTTACGACTTCAAAATTCCTACTTGAAACCTCCAAACCAGGAGTTGGCAAGCTTATTATTTATGGGGCCAGATAGTAAATATTTTTTGGCTTGTAGGCCAAGAAGCAAAATTGAAGTTATTATATAGATACCTATAGAACAAGAAAGAAAACAAATTCCTACACTTTTTTCATTGGCAAAATTAAACTATAACAATTATTATTTATTTATTTATTTTTTAAAGATTGGCACCTAAGCTAACAACTGTTGCCAATCTTTTTTTTTTTTTTCTGCTTTTTCTCCCCAAATCCCCCCCAGTACACAGCTGCATATTTTAGTTGTGGGTCCTTCTAATTGTGGCATGTGGGACGCAGCCTCAGCATGGCTTGACGAGCGGTGCCATGTCCACGCCCAGGATCCGAACCGGCGAAACCCTGGGCCGCTGCAGCGGAGCGTGCCAACTTAACCACTCGGCCACAGGGCCAGCCCCAAACTATAACAATTATTGAATACAATTTTTTAGTAATATATGTCTACTAGTGAGAAGAATGGAATTTTGGGGGGAGGATAACATTTTGCTTAATTGGGGTTTAAAGGTAATGTTTTCTAGCACCAAATGAATTGCAAGTGTTCATCAGTGAAAACCATCCTTAGCTCACAGGTTGTACAAAAATATACAGTGGTCAGGCTGGATCTGGCCCACGGCTGTAGTTTGCCAACCCCTGTTTTAAGCCACGATAGGTTTAGTAAGGGAAAAATGGGTCTGACTGTCAAACCACAGAACCGATGTTTCAACGTCAAGCCAAAAAATACACTGATGTCCAAACTCAGAATGTACCACATCAAGGGTGAATCCCAATGTAAACTACGGACTCCGGGTGATAATGACGTGTCACTGTAGGTTCATCAGTTGGTCAAACGTACTTTTAACGTTTTAACGTTTTAACTGTGGTGGGGGATGCTGATGGTGGAGGATGCTGTTTGTGCGTGTTGCGGGGTCAGGGGTATACGGGAAATCTCTGTACCTTCCCCTCTATTTTGCTGTGAGCCTAAAACTGCCTTAAAAAAATGGGTCTATTAAAAAGTGTGCTGATGGACATAACACTTCAATATCTGGGAACCCTCTGATCTGTGCTGTCTGTTAAGCATTGTCCTGAGCAGGTGTGGAGGAGGTTCGGTTAGTGAAGGTCTGAGAGGTTCATGGCCAGGCCTGGACACTGCCTACATCAGCCTCATCTTGACCAATATCTGTGAAACCAAGGGTTTGACATCCAGTCTTGTTTCCCTCCAAATACCCGCTAAATTGAATGCACAATGGTTGAAATACAAAATATCTGCCCATGGACTACCTAAAATTATCTCTTGGTATGTGACCACACTCTGGGAAATATGGGGTTAGATCAGTTTTTTGCAAATCTGAGTGCACGTTGGAATCAACTGGGGAGACTGAGAAAAAAGATCAGTGCTTGGGCCCAATTCTACACCAATTACATCAGAATCTCTGGATGTGGGGCTTGGTTCTTAGTACGTTGCAAACATCTCCAACTGATTTTGATGAGCATCCAGGGTTGAGAACCACTGGGTCATGGCAAGGTGTTTCCAGAAGCTTCTATTAAGTGTAAAACATATCACTTGGGAAGGGCAGCTCATTGAGCAATTTCTAGGGATTAACATTCTTCGGCACAAATGAGGGACTGATGATGGGGTGAAACACAGGTGATGGGGCTCTGAGGAAGTGGGTATAGGAAGAGTCAGGTGAAGCCAGGGTGGAGCTGGGTGTTCCAGGGATGAATGGAATGGATGGGAGACCCCCTAACGAAGAGCCCACTTTGCAGCAATGTCCACTTCCCCAAGAGCCTTCATCTTCCCCGATGCCCTGGGACCCTTGCTCACCTCACATTCGCCAGGGGCCCGGTACTCTCAAAGTTGTCTCTGAGGTCTGGCCCATCGCCCGATGATTTGCGGGAGTCGGAATAGGAGGAAACACTGTTGAATCGGACCTTGTAGCTCCTGGCAAAACGAAAGAGAGTCTGTGAGCTCTGGCTTGGAGCCCCGACCTGAAGTCAACATCCTCATGGATCTTCAAATTATCAGTCCTGTTTCTGGCACCTTCTCTTGCATGTTGAGTGAAACCATAACACTCCTATGGCCTCTTCTGGAACATATCAACATACCCTCGCCCACCACAATGATACAGCTAGCCACCTGTGCTTGGCGCTATCTGACCACACTCGACTCAGGAAACTTGAGAACCAGTCAAAAGGATTTAATCAGCAAGAAGTCAGGAATAGAACAGACCATCAGACCAGAGTTCCTGGCTTCCCCAATTTTAAAGTGCACAAGAATCAGCCTGTTAAAATGCAGATTCTGGTTCAGCAGGTCTGGTGCAGGCCCGAGAGTCTGCATTTCTAACAAACTCCCAGGAGATGCTGAAGCTGCGGGCCCCCAGACCTCACTTTGAGTAGCCAGGAACTAGACTTGTGCTGTCCAGTATGGTAGCCCTCGGCTACGTGTGGCTATTTAAATTTAAAGCTAAATCAACTCAACTTAAATGCAATGAAAAATTCTGGTCCGCACTTGCACTGGCCTCATGTCAAGTGCTCAATAGCCACGTGTGGCTAGTGGCTGTCGCATCGGATGGCACAGACACAGAATATTTACATCATCATAGAAGGTTTTCTTGCATGGTGTTGAACAACCCGTTTAACACTCTCTTCCCATAAAGCTGTGGTCCTTAGACATTTGAAGGGTCTGTCACATCTCACATTTCAAGTAAAGATGAAAAAAGTTCAGCATTGGCACATGGCATGAAAAGAGATTGGATTTCTTATTAAATTGTTTAGAAGGGGAAAGAAGATGTCATTGGACTCAGACCTCAGCATGAGAGACTCAGGAGATTTGAGAATAAAACAAAAATCCGCTTTCCAAGTTTTCCTCTGAAAGCGGTAAGTTTTATTCTCAGAAAAGGCAAAAACAAAACATAAAACCAAAACCAAATCCCCAAGACCAAAAAAATAAAAACCTCCAAACCAAAAAGACACCCCTCCCCCCACAAACAAAACACAAAAACTCAACACACAAATCTGAGTGCAACAGACAAAAAAAGAAATTGCGCGTTCTGGCAGCAGAGTTTCTAAGCTGGATGTTCTTCAAAGTTTTCGCTCCAGCATCAGGAGAGTTCTAAATATACGTAAGTGTATTTTCTGCCCTAAAATAGTCGCACATTGAGTCACTTCTCCAAATAAGTCAGGCAACATATCAGGGGGTGGCTGTGTTCTTAGTGTGGGAGGGATGGTTGCTGGTTGTGAGATAAAAATACCAGCACATGTATTTGTATGAGGTTTTTCCAAATGCTTCGTTGTTATCCTTTGGTCCACACAACAGCTCCCAGAGGTGGTCGGGGCAGAGATAGTTTCTCCCCATTTGGCAGATGAGAAAGACTGAGGCTCAGAGGGGTCGAGCGGCTTGCTCAAGCTTGCTTCGTGAGTTAGTGGCACAGCCTGGATTAGAACTCAGGTCTCTTTGAGACTCAGATGTGGCCTTGGATGCTCCGGCATTGGGCATGCAGGCACACATATGCACACACAGCTACACACAAACACAGGGCATACCCATGCATGCGCACACACGCTCTACCTGCGCTGGCTGTCACGGGCTGCAGCCAGACCATGGACTTCTGTGTCACCTCGGGGGAGGGGAGGCCCTTTACGGGGAAAGAAACGCAAGGGTTCCGGGTACCTAGAGGGGAGAATGGATGGTGCCCTATCTCTCCCTGAAGGAGGGGTGAGGGGGAGCCAGCTGGAGACCACCAGGATGAGTGGGAAGGAGAGGGGCAGAGAGAGTGAGCACTAAGAAGCTGGCACTGGGCACAGAACAAGGGCTGCCCACAAGGGACTCAGCTATGGTGCATCTCCTGGATGTGGAGTGTATGTGAGTTTGGCAACACATTCTTGGCTAAAAGAAAACCAGGAGGGATTGTCTGTGTAACACAGCCTCCAAACACCAGCCAGCTTTGGCACTGGATGCTCGACTTAAGACACGGGGCTCTGCTCCACGCTGGAGGAGACGCTGCGCTGGCCTCATTGACAGGCAGCTCAGTATGCATGCGCCATATGTTCTCTACTTTATGGGGGCTTTAAGGCCTTTTCAAGGGTAATTCTGATTACAGGTGTTTGTCATCTTACAAAACATCTTTAGGACCCAACCCCGTGTTAGATGTAATTTCACCATGAACATCTTTGGACTGCAGGCATTTTTCGTCTAACGAGGTATCTTTTGGACTCAACTCTACATAAGCTGCAACTCCGCCATGAGCATCAAATGGAAAAGTTCTACGGAAACAAGTTCATTTCACCGACTTTGAATGTATGTTTCCAAAGGGGGAGGAGATAATAAGAGCTGATATTTACACAGAGCTCTTCATTTTTCCCAAGACGCTTCCATCTATTTTCTAATTTTCTTCTCACAAATTAGAAAGTTCAGGCAGGTATAATAAGCCCTATTTGGTGGAAAAAGAAAGTGAGGCACATGGCTGTAAGGCGACCAAACCAAGACCTCCTAGTCATCAAAATGTGGGCCGCAGACACCCACCGGCTAAAATAGGTCACAAATGGACCTTAGGTCGGTCACAACTGCCATCCAGAACTCAAATGTGAACACTAGGTGCCAAAAGACAACTTTCAGTTACTCCCATGGGATGTCCTGTGACACTGGAGGGTCATCCACTTACTTCCTTTCCTCGTGCACAGAGTTGGGGTGTCTCATTTCCATCAAAGCACAGCCGAATTTCTAGAGGCAAAAGAGATGAGTGGGATGTGAAGCTCGTATCATCAAACCTGGCAGATGGTCGGGTGCTGAGGACCTAGGGTCCTAGGTGGCCAAAGAGGAGCTGATGCCTGGGTCTCAGGATGTCAGAGACGCTCAGGGGCGCGGGCTGGGCAGCAACGCTTGAGCTGCACATGCACGTGGAAAGGCCAGCTCTTTAAAGGACTACAGCTGTGGGCTCCTCCACCCTCAGCATACAAATCCCCTTCGGGGCTTTCTCTCTATAAAAATATTGTCCCCACTCCTCTTATCTGGAGCAAGGGACACCAAGCTCTTGATTGGAGCATCCATTCCAAAGAAGTAATTCACTCAGGTGACAACATTTTCACCCGGGATCAGCTAGTCGGTGGACACCAATAGACTGAGGACACGAAATTGTCCAATCTTTGCAGAACTTGGATTCAAATTGAAGTCACCGGCTTTGAGGCCTCTGGGAGGATTTGCTACTGAATAGGAGGTCTAGCTTCTGCCCCTTCTTCCTCCCACTGATGGAAACACACGCTAGAACCGCTGAAAGCTCAGCTCACCTCTCCGTTCTCAGGGGGGTCTCCATTGCCGAAGGTGCTGGTAACCACCAGGACCAGAGTTTCATGTTCCAGGTGCACAATGTCATATTCTTCCATGGACATCACCTAGGTGGGAGAGGGCGAAGGAACGGTGGAGGGAGAGGAAGGAGGAAGGTGATGAGAAAGAACCAAAAGTGATGGGGGAAGGAGAAAGAGAGAGAGAGGAAAATGGTGAGCCATCTTGAGCCATCTCCTTCGGAAGGAGAACGAAAGTTCTGGGCATCACAATTTCAATGGGCTCAACTGGGTAGAACTAAAAGCTTTTTGGTGGTGTGGGGCCTTTCTGTGGTCACTGTGGCTTGAAGGGCCATAGAGAATCTGGGGCAATGTTACAAGGGGTCAGCTGCCAGTAGAGACAGATCTTGACTGAGACCTTTGAGCTTCTTAGAATCAACTGATCCTGGAATCTTCTTGACCACATTTAGGCTGGGAACGATGGCTGGGTCTGACCCAGTCTGCTCAGCCTCCTTTCTTATCCTCCCTCCAGCAGTGAGGAGGACCTGGGCCAAACGAGTCTGAGACCCCTGCTTCAGGGAAAAATTGCTGGCTTATATCTTAGCATCACTTGAGCAACGTTTCCCAAAGTGGGTTCTAGGGAAGCCCTGTCTCCTGAGATGGTCCTTGAAAATAAGTGAGCCATGAAATGTTTGGGAAACATTCACATTCTCTCCCCTCCTCTTTTGGAGATCATAACACATACTTGCACATGAAAGGCTCTGAGAGGTCCTATGGCAAAGAAACCCATTAAACTATATTTAATGTAGAGTTTCGAAACTGACTCCAGTTTTTCATAAACTTTCTAACATTTTTCTCTATACATGGGGGTTTCATTTTGTGACTTCTGGACTCCTGGAGGGCTCACAGGGACAGGGGCAACGCGGTCCCCTGAAATTTATGCAGATGTGTACATGCATGCTGACGGGCACCTTCCAAAGTGCTTTCACCCATTCTCAAAGGGTTCTTGCCCGGTGACCTCCCTCTCTCCCCTTATTTACCACGAGGGGCCCGAGAGCAGGCACTGCCCCCACCCACCTTGGCATCAAAGGCGTGTTTGAAGATCTCACACAAGGTTTTGGCGTAGGCCTGCGACTTGCCCGTCTCTGTGGCGTAAAGGATGGTCGCCTTGACCCTTTTGGCCATTGCCTGCCCCATCAGCTTGGCCGAGAACTTGACGGCTCTGCGGGGAAGAGAATGGAGAGGAAAATGGGAAATGCCAGGCTGGGCCTTTTGGGCAGAACCATGACCCATGACACAAACAGGAGACAACTTGCTCTCCTGGTCTTTGATGGTGGCATGGACAGAGCAGGCCTGAGTTTAGGCACCATACTCACCCCTTTATGAACTCCCTCCAGAGCAACTAGTCATGAGCTAAAATGGTTGGTTAGTTCTGTTAGTCTGTTACTTGATGGATCGAGTCCCGGCTTGAGAACCTTGGTTTACCAAGCATCACCCCCAAAGATGATCCTTCACTCATTCACTCATTCATTCGTTCCTCAAATGTTTGTTGAGTGCTTATCTATGTGCCAGGCACTGTTATAGCAGCTGAGGAACGCAGCTATGGACAAGCAGCTGTCATGGGGCTTACATTCGTGTGTGTACGTGTCAGAGAGAGAGGAACAAATCACTAAGAAATCACCATGTGTTGAGTTAAAAGGAATTTTAGAGGTTTACAGATCCCCAAAGGAAGGAACAGGTCTGGTTCAGTCAGCCTTGCACATCCAGGGTCTTGCACAGAACTCGATACCCAGTGGGCACTAAATGTGCATCTCTCAAAAGAAGGACTGAATTTTAAAGATGCTGCTACATCAAAGCCTTGGAGAGTTTAAATGGCAAGTCTAGGCTCTTTCTAGCTAAATGGAGAATTCAGAACCAGAGTTCCTTCCTCCCTGCCTAGGAGGGCATGGGGCTAGCAGACAGGCGAGAGGCCCAGACTCTCCTTCTGAGCGAGCATCCCTGATCCAGCTCTCAGTGTAGACAAATAGCTAATTACCTCCACCTGGGGATTATTGGTGGCAAATTCCTCGTTTTTTAGAATCAGGGAAACCACCCACGCTGCAGGAGCACTCCAGCTAGGAGGGAGAAATGGAAAAGAATAAAAGGTGCCTGGAGGGTTCCCTTTGAATGATGGGAGCAGAAAAAGGCATCTATAATTAACTCCCATTGTTTCCACCCCAAATGCAATAGTGCAATTAACGTTTTAGATTTCTCCCTCCCTTCTTCCCCCAGAGACAGCTGAACTGAACTGAAGCCAAACACTGCCCTCCCTGCGAATATTTGTGATTCTCTCGTTAGGGAAAGAATGGCTGCTGATATGTTCCTGCTTGGCTGGAAGATGGGGTTAGGAGAGAGGGAGAGAGATGCCATGGGCCATATTAATGGAGCCAGGACCTAGGTTTGAGTCCCTGCAAGGCCCACCAGTATCTTGCTTCATGGGTCCATGGCATGGACGGCACTTTTTGCACAACTAGCTGCCATATGTAGAGAGTTCTGGGTGCAAGGGGGCTGAGGGAAGAAAGGAAGGAAGTCAGTGCATACCCAGCTCCTCTGCCAGAAAGCGAGCTCCAAACAAGGGGTCTGTGCTCAATGGACCAGTGGGGCTCTCTTTTTTTAGGAGAAGGCTGGCATCCCCATTGGATCATTGTCATTGGTTCCATCCCACTTGTCAGCTGGTCCCTTGGCTATCCATGCACTCTTCAGGGCAATCGCTCTTCAGTGGTCTTGGTCCATAACCCGCTTCCCTCCCTTCTTTGTCAATTAAGTCTTATTCATCTCTTCAGCTCAGTTGTCATCTCCTGAAGGAAGCCCTCTCTACCCTCCCCAACTTGGTTAAGTCTAATTTGCGGCCATGAAGTGTTCCCAATGGCACTCGCAACGTTTACCGTATTTGTTTGATTCTTTGACAAATGAATGGCTGCGAGCTTCATGAGGGCAGGGACCACATTCATCTGGCTCATCATGGCATCCCTGGAGCCTAGCACAGTGCCTGGCACAGAGTAGGCGCTCAGTATTTATTTGTTGGCTGAATGAATGAATAAATGAATGAGTGAGTGAAGATAGAGTTCAGGCCTGGACGAGAGCCCCCTCTAGGCGGCGGTGTGCTGGAGCCGGCTCATCCCAGCTCCCCTCTGCTCTGGGTTCAGTGACTTCTTGTTGACATGAAATTGCCCATAGTGGGAATATTTACACCATGGACATTGGCCAACGTTACAAACCTATTATTACTATTATTACTATGACTATTATTATTATTCAGAGAGCTGTTTTACCAACACACCACTGCCTCCAGGACAAGAATTTAGGAAAATGGGGCAAGGAAAGGGAGGCTGGGGTGGGGGAAGAGTTGTGGCGACATTCACATCCCATACTCTGAGACAAAGAAGGCGCAGGGGGTTGGAGAAAATGGAGAAATCACATCACACAAGAGGTCAGAGGCACAAGCACCTGGCCTGCCTCCTTTCCTGGGGCTCTCTGAGATTTTGGGCACATCTACTCCCCCCGCTCCAAGTCCAGGAGACTTACTCTGCCAGCTTCTTGAAGCCGATGGCTCGCCGCTTTGTGGGGGTCCCGTTGGTACCCTTCCAGACATGGGTGTTCCAAGGATCAGGCTGGAAAGAGAGGACTATGGTCAGCAGCAAGGGAATGTGGGTCCTCTTTGGAGATGCTCAGGACTCCCTGGGGGCTGTGGCTGCCCACCCATGCCCAGTCCCCAGCCCCTTAAGGGAGTGATTCTGCCAGTGGCGACCAGGACAGAGTGGCCGGTCCAGCCTCCATGCATTGTCCTGCTACACCTTCCCACCCACTCTTAGTCCCTCTCAAACAGTCTCCTGTGACCCCAGACTACTCATTTCGGCTCCATCAGCCTTCCAGCTAGAGCTGTGCCGTCCCACACGGTAGCCACTAGCCACGTTGGCTACCGAGTGTTCAAAGTGCTAGTCTGAACTGAGATGTGCTCTAAGCATAACCCACACACCGGATATTGAAGACTTAGCCCGAAAAGAAGCAGGGACGGGGCAGGACCTGGTATTCGAAGGAGGGGGTGAGCCGGTAGTTGAGCATCTCCTGGTGGAAGACAGGGGTGATGCTTCCAGACATGGGGGGCACAATCCACACCCAGTCAGCGGGGCAGCCCCCCCGGCAGCGGTATTCATTCTCCATGTGCTTGATGAAGGACTCAGTGGCAGAGTGGTGGTCAACGATGGTCACTTTGTCACTCTGTGGGAGGAGAGGGGACAAGGAGTCAGGAGGTAAGAGAAGCTGGGGTATTTTGGGACTCCCTCCCCCATAGAGCAGTGGTTCCCAAAGGCTGGTCCTGGAGATGATTTTAGGCGGTATAAAGTGATTCTCCACACTGCTGTTTCAATCCTTCTGATTACACCCAGGAGAAAGTCTCTGTTGGTGCTAATGTGTCTTTAACGCCTCTCTTCCCAATCTTCCTCTTTCCTCCCTCTCACCCCTCTCTCTCTCTCTTTTTTTTTTTAATAAGAGAGAGGAACCTCTCTCTTATCTAGCTAGAATTCAACAACTTGGCTTCGTCTTCCTTGTGTTGTGTATTTATTTACATTTAAACTTCTCCTCCTAATATGACAACTGATATTGGCTCTCCATTTATGGTGTTGATACACAGCCTCCTAAAATAGAAATTTTTAAGTCATAAGGATGAGTTTAGTAAAATGAAAGCAAGGAAATCCCAGCAGAGGCGGGTGGCCTGAACATTGGGTACCCAGCCCCGGGGCCCGCTGTGGTTGGCTGGTTTGGATTCACACCTTATCCAAGCAGTGCTGTCCATCTCTGCCCACAAAACCGTGTCCCCTTCCTGCACTTTTCCTTTTCAATCACTCATCTCCCTCTCATCTCTGCTGTCTCTGACTCGCCGGTCTTCACGCCAGTCCACCAGTCCACCAAACCACGCTCCATCATTTCAACAACTCCGGAAAGCTCGCTCCTCCGTGGCTGAGGGAGAAGGGAGGGCACGTCCGTCCCCCTCGCCTCATCTCCACTGTCTCTTCCCTGGGATATTCCTCAGTGTCCCCATTCTCCCTACTCTAGACATGGGACCTCTGGTCCATACCCATGTCTACCCATGACTTGCTATGTTCATTCTACTGTCTGTGTGTGCCTTCCATGGATGTCCATGAGGGTCTAGCTCCCCAGATGGTCAGCCCCCAGAGGACAGAGCTGGTCTCTACGGTAGAGAGCGACCTTTATACTATAGGTCTCCTGGTTTGCCCAGGAGAATCCCAGCTATGCCCATCGTCCCGGCACAGCTATTAGCAGGGACAATTATTGCTCTCAAAAGCGTCATGGTTTAGATGACACAGTTTACAGCCATCCTACTTTAATACCATTTACCACAGAGCCGCATGCATGGAGGGGCCTATATGCTTCTGAGAACGATGATGAGTATTTGCCTCTGTTATGCGATCGTCTGAATCCCTGAGAGGCAACAAGACACAGAGGGCGTCTTGCCATCTCAGTTCTAAAAAATCGTAAGCAACATCACCCACTCCCCTACCTATTCATCTCTGCCTCAAACGGTGCCCACCCAAGATCCACAGCGGAGACGCAGGCACGCATGATGGGGGCAGACCCTTCCTGGGGACAGACTCCCCCCAGGTGCTAGGTCTCCTGATCTTCTGCTCCAAGGCTCTGAAAGGGTTTGGTGCCCCTTTGAGGCCTGACCGCCGGGATGCGCGCCCTGGCGCTACCTGGAAGCTGTAGAGAACGGCAATGTTGATCTCCACCAGCGCCTGGTCCTTCCACAGGGAGGACGTCTTCCTCAGGTCCAGGTTCATCTTCTTGGCCACTTCCTGAAAGGAGAAGGAAAGACAGACTCACAGGCTGGGGCGCCTCTGGATTTCAGACTAAAGAGGGGCAGGGCTAGCTGGTGTCACCAATGAATTTCTCAATTAGTTAATCAACCCATTGGCGGACTGATTACTCACTCACTCACAAGGTTGTTTATTGAGAACCTACTGGTAGCAGGAAACTAGAGAGCAGTGGCTGGCCCTTTTATTGTTGAGTTTACCTTCCAGTGGGGGAGAGAGATGGTTAATATTGTGATGAGTGTAATTCCTAGGAAGAAAATAAGTCAAGGAAATGGGATGAAGAGGCATACGGTGGCAGGATTAATGGAGCCAGGATAGTCACGGAAGGCCCACTGTGGAGGTGGATGCCAGGTGAGAACGAAATGATAAGAAGCAAGACATTTGCAGAGCAAGGGAGGGAAGCTTCTAGGAAGAAAAGAGCAGCACGTGCAAAGACCCTGAGGTGGGATCAGGCTTGAGCCATCTGAGATACAGAAGGAAGGCCAGTGGATCTGGAGGATAGTGAGCCAAGGGGAGCTCATGGGAGAGAGAGAGAGGCAGGACTGAATCATGCAGGATCTTGAAGGATGCGCCAAGGAGTCAGGATTTCCTTCCAAATGGGATGGGGTGTCTTCGGAGGGTTTTTAAGCAGAGGTGTGGGTCTGCTTTGTAGTAGGAAAAACTCGCCACTCATCCTGTTCCACCCTGGAATGGCCACTATTTGGAATCTGGATCATGGGTGCTTTGAGCTCATGGGGACACCTGCCTACTCCATCTGGCAGAGAGGAAACGGAGACTCAGAGAGGTGCATGGACTTGTCCAACGCCCACAGAGCCAGGTGGCCTTGGAGCTGGAGCCCAGGCAGACGCATAATGACAAAGACCTTGGAGCTGCTCCCCAGCCAGCTCACTCCTTTGGAAAAACTACCTGGAAAAAACAACCCCTGACATTTACGTTATAGCTCAAGCTGAAGCAGGTGCTGATGTCAGGAGTGGGGAAGACCCAGTAGAAAATTCATTAATTAGATCCTCGCTTTTCACTTCCTCTGTCAATTCTAGTCACTTGTGGGAAGCCAGGTCTCATTACGGAGCTCGAATGCGACAATGTCTCAGGTTTAGGGAAATCGCTTCCCAGCTCCAGCTGTCAACATTTGTACACGATGGCAGCTAGAATCAGAGGGCTGGGTGGGAGGGAGTGTCATTTAAATCACCCAGTGACTACTCTTCGCAATCGAAAGGTAAGCAGAGATCATGAAAGCAGACCTATTAATTCACTCTTTGAGGCTGAGGCATCAGGTTCTGCTTGGGGGTCATTGGCAGTGATACATATGCAGAAAATATGCAATTTGCTGCTTTACATAAATACATATAAAACTGGAGTTATTTTATGAGAGAGGAAAGTGTGTATAGTCAGTCAGGATGCTATTGTCACTTCTACAGCATTATTTTGGTTAAAAGAATACAATTTAGTTGCAGAAAAGAAGACTATGTGACCAAAAAAATCCCCAAAGGTAACTTGAGCCACATCTATGGAAATTGCCTGAAGTGTCTTTTCCTTTCTTGCCAGAAGTTTGTAGAGATCAGTGGCTGCCCAGTAGAATCTTCTGGGGAGCTTAGAAAAATGCGGATGCCCAGGGCCTACCCCAGACCAAGGACACCCGAATCCTGGGGAGTGGGACCCCGCATAATAAAGTTCCCTAGGTATCCAATGTGTGGCAAGGCTCAGGACCCCTGGCTTCTGTTTCCAGGCTAACACCCACGGACTTTTTATCTTCATTGAGATGTAACTGACATACAACATTATGTGAATTTAAGGTGTTGATTTGATACATTTATATATTGCAATATGATTACCACCAGAGTGTTGGTTTACACCTCCATCATGTCACATAATTATAATTTCTTTTTTGCGGTGAGAACAATTAAGATCCAGTCTCTTAGCAACTTTGAAGTTTATAATACAGTATTGTTGATTATAATTATTATTCTGTGTGTTAGATCTGCAGAGCTTATTTATCTTTTAGCTGCAAGTTTACACCCTTAAACATCTCCTCCCTAATGCCTGCACCCCGACCTCTGGTAGCCAGCATTCTTCTCTCTGTTTTTACGGATTGGCGTTTTTTAGATTCCACGTATATGTGGGATCGTCCAGTATTTGTCTTTCTCTGTCTGACTTATTTCACTCAGCATCACCCCCTCGAGGTCCATCCGTGTGAACATCCACGGATCTTAACAACATCAACCCAAGGCTTGGGGCTGGTTCTAATCTTGGTTCTGTACCTTGTTTACTGGGTGACAGAGGCCCAGCACTTAACTTCTCTGTTTCTCAGTGCCCTCTTTGAAACAAGGCCAACCACAGCAGACCGTTGTAGGAACAACATTTGCTGACAAAACCAGAGCAACCCTGATGCCTTCACCAGAGCTCAGCTCCAGGGAGCACTCGGCCCCAGCACTCTCTGGGAGAGGAGGACGACTCAGCCAGGGAGGGAAGCAGGCCCTCACCGAGAGATGCGTATGGTGGGGAACCACTGCCAACCCTCCTCTCTTGCTTTTCAGAAAAGAGACAAAAAATGCCCCAAGTTCACAGGTCATTCTCAAACCCCTCTAACAGGGTTTGATGCTGGGAGGCAGTGTAGCAGAGTGGTTATGAACTTGGACCACAAAGCCAGACTGGGTTCGCATCCCAGCTCTGCCGCTTGCTAGCTGTGTGACCTTGAGCTTGTCCCTTCATCCCTCCAAAAGACCTGTTTCCTCAACTGTGAAAGGGGGATTATCATACCCAAAGGTTGTGGTGAGGATTAAATGGGCACGTAATACACGCAAAGTACTTTGCACAGGGCCCAGCACATAGCACATGCATTGTTAACGCCACAGACGGCTCTGCAACCGCCAAGGACTTCAGCAGGATGGCAGGTTCTGTTTGAAGCCCTTCCAGTTTCCAAGCGCCAACGCCCAGCTGTGGGAAAGGGCTGCCGAGCCCAGCCCCTCTGCCTGTGCTTTCCCATCACGTGACAGGGAGGGACCTTACCTCCAGGATGTTGTATCGTGAGTTGTCACAGTAGTCACGGACGCCAATCTCCGTGCCCATGTACCAGCCGCTGAAGGGACAGGCACTGAACTCCAGGCCGCCAATCTCCAGAAGCATGTTGGACACAGCGGGCAGGCCGTACCACTTCAGTCCCAGGTCCTTGAACCACTCAAACCTGCAGAGAGCAGCAGAGCCCCGCTCGCCAGGGGGCAGGAGCCTCGTCGGCAGGCAGTGGGTGGGACAGCCTTAGTCTGGGGATGCTGGAATGCCAGCAACTGACCAACTGACCACGTCAGAGCCTGATCCCTGGGCTCTGCTTATGACCTGTGGAATCTCAGGTTCCACAGCTGGGGCCTGAGAATATGCATTTTAACACATTTCCCAGGTGATTTGGATGGACACCCAGGCCTGGGAACCACTGCCTTAGGGGGCTGTTTATCTCCCAAACCCAGCCTGAAAGTTAGTCCAGGAGAAAGCGAGTCTCACTGAGTTCCTTCCTACCCCAGGGCCTTTGCACGGCAGTTCCTTCCTCCTGGGATCTTCTGCCTTCCGTCTGTGCCTGTCCAGCTCTTAGCCACACTTTGGTTCTCAGCTAAAATGCAGCTTACTCTGGGAAGCCTGCTCTGATGCTCACTCTGGGTTGGGTCAGGTGACTTCATGCCTTTCAGCGCCATAACATTTCCTTTGCAGGACTTTATTGGAATTAAGCGATTATTTGGGTAACTATATGTGTAAGATGTATATCTGTGAGATCGAAAGCGCCACGGAGGCAGGGACCAAGTCAGCCCCAAAGCTAACACAATGCTTGGTCCAGAGTGGGAATAAGAGATTGTGATGAATGAGCAAATGAATGAATGAATGAATGTAGGTCAAGTGTCATCAGGCAGACTGAGTGAGTTCCCAGATATGGGGCAGAGTGAGGAGCCTCAGGACATTGCTCCCTCTCCAGGACTGGGACTAGGGCACCAGCCTTGGGCGCAAAATGAACGGGGCACCGACGAACCCAGTCATCATGATCATTATTATTACTTATATATTTATCAACATTTTTAATTAATTCAATGTTTAAAAAAAATAAAAATTAATGCGAAAAACGTCCGTGATGAATAAATCATCGAAACTTTAAATAAAGTCAGGATCCCCCCTTGGACTTGCAGGATTCACCTTGCTCGCTCCACCCAACTCTCAACCCTCAGCTGGATCCCGTGTGTTAAATTTTGAAATATTATGCATCATGGATCTTTAAAAGAGTTAATTTTGATTTTTTAAAATATTGCATTAAAATGATATTTATCTTGACAATTGAGTTTTCTAGTGCCCCCGCAGTTCTGTCCCCGGGGCCACTGTCTCCCTGTGGATTTCCTTGACTCTCAAAGTGCACATTCTGCCCGTGCTGCTGGCCCCAGCTCTCGCAGCTCCTTCCCGGCTCCAAATTCCTCTTGGACTTGGCCCACGCTGGGTCAGGTAGAGTTTTAAAAGGCTCCCTCTCTTTAAAATTTGTGCACACAACAAGATGGAGGGTGCTTCTGCTCCTCCAGCCCTTGGGGCTGGATGAAGAGCAGATGTGGGGTGATCGCTCAGGAGTGGGGTGAGGAGGGAGACTGAGTCAGGAAAGACGGCGGGCCCCAGGCTGGTCAAGGAAGATTTACTGATTCTCGAGGGAGCCCGGTCTGCCCCGGCCCCACAGTGAGTATAGGAACCAAGACCCCCTTTCAGCCTCTGTCTGGGCTGGAGAGAGAGGCAGGGGGATACGGGATGGGCAGAGAGGGGCCCTGGGCCAGCCCACCCCCCCTCACCCACTGCATGCCAGCCCCTCTTACTTGGGGTGTCTGATGGGCACTTCCAGCACCAGCTCTGGAGGGATCTGGAAGAGCTCGGGGTCGTTGCCGTTGGCCTGGAGCAGGAGTGGCAGGACGTCGAAGCGGCCTCTGGGGGGTTTCCAGCCCTGCTGTGTGCAGATCTGCAACCAGACCCCGCCAGGTCACGCCCAGGTGCCCCAGACCCTCCAAACACGACCGCAGTGGGGGAGGGGCAGAGATCCCCACGTGATCCCCTGGAGGCTGCGGGCCAGGCCACCTCCTTCGTGAAGTCCTCCCTGACATCATAGGTATCTCGCGTAACTTCTCGTGGGCCCGGGGGACAGGGTGTCCTCCTGCACGGGCTGTGTTATGTTTACCAGGTCTTCCCTGCCCACTGGGAACCCCCAGAGGGCAACAACTGACTCTGACTGTCGTGTCTCCAGCACCCTGGGGCACAGGGCCTGGGACATCACAGGCGCCCACTCCAGTGTTTGCACTGGGTGCCCTGAGACACGAAGAAAATCTAGCAAATTTGAGGAGGGCAGAGCTATTAGAATTAGTGCGTACAATGCACCTGTTAGATCAGCTGCCCAACTGACATATAAAGCGAGCCCCATAAGTGATTTAGAATTTTCTAGTCACCACATTGAAAAAAGTAAAAAACAACAAAAAATCCAAACAAAATCAGGCAAAATACATAATATATTCAGATTAATTAATTATACTAGTTAGTATAATGAAATAATATATTCATTTTTAAATAATACATTTTAATTTCAATACTACTTAATTATTAAATAATTACTTGTCATAATATATTGATTATATTAATTTACTAATACTGTATTAACTAAGGTATTGATATTAACATATTTTAAGAATACAACTGACATTAAAATTAAATACATAATGTATTTATTAATCCAATATATCAAATACTGTATAACAAAATTTAATGTACTAAATATCACCATTTGTTATTAATGACAAATTATTAAATAAATTATTAATGTTAATATATTTAAAGATATTTAACATAATTAAATGTTTATTAACCCAATAAGTGTGTAACTTATGAATAAATATAATAGATCAACCCAATATTATTTACAATATTATTATTTCAATATGGAATCAAGAAGAAAATTACTAATGGGATATCTTCCAATCTCTTTTGTTCTTTCTCTTTTTTTTTTTTTTATTTTATTTATTTATTTTTTTTTAAAGATTTTATTTTTTCCTTTTTCTCTCCAAAGCCCCCCAGTACATAGTTGTGTATTCTTCGTTGTGGGTTCTTCTAGTTGTGGCATGTGGGACGCTGCCTCAGCGTGGTCTGATGAGCAGTGCCATGTCCGCGCCCAGGATTCGAACTAACGAAACACTGGGCCGCCTGCAGCGGAGCGCACGAACTTAACCACTCGGCCACGGGGCCAGCCCCTCTTTTGTTCTTTGTCTTTGAGATCCAGTGTGTATTTTATGCTTACGGCACGTCTCAACTTGGACTCCCAATTCAAGTGCTCACTAGGCACCGTGGCCAGTGGCTGCCGTATTGCACAGTACAAGGACAGTGGGTTTCAAAAGATCCCACTACGTGGGTAGGTCTGGGGTGACTCTTTCTGCTGTGTCAGGAGAAAGAGGAAACACGAAATCATGGGGTTGGGAGAACACGACCCGTCTGTGAGTTTTCTGGAGACAGAAGGAGAGGAAGGGGCCGTGGCGTTCATGTTCCGGTGGCCACGAGGACAAGGTCAGCCAAGTATACAGTTAGCGCTCAGCCAAGTGGAGCAGAGAGTCTGGCTGAGTCTAAAACAGCACAGGTGCGACTCCTGGTCGCCTTGGTTACAGCCCCCTCCTCACGATAGCAACATTTTAATAAGAAAAGCCACGTTCGAAGGAAGGCAGCAGCAAGGAGCTTGTGGAGGGGTGGGGTGGGAGGAGGAAGGTGCTCGTGGAGTGTGGGGGGCGTCATTGGAGGAAAGAACAAAGATGCAGCTCGGCTGGGGCTGAGGGTGATCAATAACAGGAGCTCCAGGCCTGGGTGCCGAGATCATTCTAGGCATGGGGTCTGCCGGTGGGTCTCCCATGGGCACGGTCACTGTGAGCGACTGTGCCTTACCTGCGCAGCCTGTCCACATCAGCACCTGAAGGACCCCCGGATGGGGAGATGGTGGTGTTCATTTTCCTGGTGGCTCCTATGAATTGACTCGGGCTGCCAGCAATTGTGGTACACAGTGCTGGTACCACAGAGAGTCCAGCCCACCCAAAGAGGGGATGGGTGGGTAGAATAGTTGTAAAAACGAATGAAGAAATGAATACTATGAGTCTGACATATTAGCCAACTCAGAAAAGCTGAATGCTAGACGCAGCTTCCATATGTCAGCTCCTCTCCTCCTGGTGGGAGGCAGGAGATTTGGACTATAGTTCAGCTTTCCCTCTGCTCATTCAGTAGCTTTGGGTCACTCATTTGGCCATGGTGAGACTCAGTCTCTTCATCTGTGAAATGGGACAATAGTTCCCATCATGCGGTCAGGTGGGGTAGGGCTGTGAAAATGACCCAATGACCAGCTGTAACAGAACCAGCCGGACCGGGGTGGCGAAATGGAGAAGAGTAAGCTGCCTTCCACTGGCTGTTCTCCCTGGGATGTTAACATGAAACTAAGAAGAGTATGGATAAAGACCATCCTGGGGATGAGAGCTCAGGTGGGGGCCACGCACCTCTGTGAACTCCACATTGGCTGGATCCCCGAGGATGGAGCCGTCGGGCTGCTTGTAGCCGGCATAGCGGATGAGCTGGGAGTTCCAGACTCGGAAGTCGTGCTTGCCGTCAGTCCTCTGGGGAAATATGGTGATGGCAGACCTGTCATGGAGAGAGGGGGACATCTGGTGTCAGGGCGGGGCTTGCATTTTGGGGGCATAATGGAAAAGACGTCACCAGGTCAACAACTGCCTGAGGTTCAGGGTGGATTACATTTGTGCCAAGGTCCCCAGGCCCGTGGAGCAGCTGCTGGAAGGGAGGGACCTTGCTCTATCCCTCCACTAGACCAGTGGTGTGAGGAAAGGTGGAAGATGGGAGGCCCCACGCCAGCCCGCTGAAGGAGGGAGCTTCTCTAACTGGAGACTCAAACGATCTTGAGTTTTCCAGAGAGTTCATCTCCAAGCATCTCGGACCCTCTTTCCCTTTAAGAACGCACAATCAATTTCCAGTTCCATTCTTTCTCCTGCCACCATCATCAATTCTCACCCAATTTGCCCACCCTCCCTACCGTACCAAAGTCTATAAACTTGCAACTAAGAGGAATCAACTGCCATTTGCTTTCACTTTTATTTACTTGAAAAGAAAACTATATCGCCACTGTCCTCGCCTACCTAACTAGGCAACTATGAGAGCGTATAGCGTTACTAAATTGTGGAAAGATGATGTTGTCTGCTGAAGGCACCTAGCTGGAGCCCCGCTCTCTTTTTGTTGGGGGGAGATCGGCAGTGTTACAGCAGCGTTAATGATGTCTTAGCACCACACTGAGACTTTCTCCTTGGCATCATCAGAAGGATTCAAAAAAATTGAAAGGAGAGTAACTTTGCAGGTTGTGGTTCAATGTTATCTCACGCCAGGAGCTTCTGTCACTCAGACTCGTCAGTGCCATCAGTGGCCCGAATCCAAGGCGATGGAAACACTATCTCGGCTTGTGTCAACGTGGGAATGACATGGTGGGTCCAACTCATAGCTCATAGACCTTCTCCCGTACACATTCGAGCCCTGGAACTCTGCCTCACTGTTCCCTTGGTTAGAATCCGTCTCTGCTGTCATGCATCCAAATTCAAGGCCCCATTCAAAGTCACTTTCTCCACACGGCATCCCTTGTCTTGTCTAGTACCCAAGGCCTTCTTTCTGAGCACACTCAGGTCTTATGGTCTGCACAAGACAATGCCATGTTTAATACTGCAGGGTGGTGCGTCACACCTTGGGGCGAGTCTAGAAAAGGGGCTGAAGGCGAAAGTTGCATAGAACCAAAGATGCTCTTAAAAAGCTTGTAGCGAAGGCGCCATATTGGAGATGAACATAGAATGGATCAAACCATCAGTTTTCCCTCCAGCAGTAAAACCCATGGCTGTTTCTTTGGTTGAGCAGCAGATAAGGGGGATTTGGGTAGTACATACATTTAAAAAGCATCTTTAGTGACACCAGAATCCCACACGGCAGGGTGGAACGCTTATTCTACGTGTGGGAACCAAGGCCAACGGAAGAAATATAACATATTCGCGCCTCCCATCCCCGCAGCTCCCCAGCACGATCTCACTGAACGGCAGGTCCCATGCCCTGCGCTGCTCTCTCCCTCCCGTCTTCTCTCCTGTCTGCCTTCCTCTCCTATATTTAGATTATTTCTAAACATGGTATACATTCTCTTACGGCTTTCTCATCATGTCCAGACGTGTGGTTTAAAAAGTGTGAAAAAAAGAATCAGCTGAATATTCTCTTCAATGGAAAAATCTCATGAAGCTCTTCAATAGATAATTGAAAAAAGTGGAGGTATAGGGCCTGGCCCACGGTGAGCCCCCCAGATTGCCTTGTCACACTTGTTCCACTATTTGGAGCTACCAGAATGGCCCATAAGCTCCTTGAGGGCTGAGACCTGACCGGGCCCTCTTTAAGGCTCAGGATATGCAGGAGGGTTCTTTGATGCTCTCGGAGGGCCGAGGTCTTTAGGAAAAAGATCTAGATACCGATTCCCCAAGCAGGCCCTGGGCCGACATTACAGCCCCTTTTCCTAGTGGTGGGCTCAGCTGGCAAACACGGCTTCCACCTCAAGGAAGAGACACATCCAAGAAAACCCACGCCAACAAGCCACTGTGGAGATGAGCTCAGCTTGGCCTGGGGGCTTGTGGGAATATCCCTGCAGTGGCCCCCAGATGGGGCCGGTCCTCAGCAGCTGGGAACAGATGCCTGGGCAGGACTGAGTGAGCAGGATTAACAAGTCTAACGGCCTGTCTGCATGGCCCAGCTGTTCCCTTCCAGCTGCTCCTCTCCCAGCTGCGACTTGACAGTGTGGAAGCCACCAGCCCACATCGGTGCCTTTCCACCTTGGCCTGCTCCCTGGGGCTTCGTTCTTTGTATGGTGCAAGAAGGGTCCAAGGTGTGGCTTGGCTTGGTGGGAACCTGAGGGAGTGGTCCCCACAGCAGCGGGAAGAGAAGTTGCCTTTTAAACCGAGGGAGATTCTGAGGCAGCTCCAGGCAACAGAGCAGGAGCTGGAAAAGCAGGTCACCACCGGCAATGAGTTTTTCTGATTCCCGGGAATGGGAACCATTCCTTCCTGCCCCCTCCATGGGTGATATTGGACTGTGGGTTGAATGCGATTTTGGTTGCTGCAGCTTTGCAAGCCACACGGGAGTCTGTTTTTCCCAGAAGAGGAGGGACACGGCGTGTGCAACAAGGATGCCAGGCCACCTCTCCCGGCTTGGGGCATCTCCCCAGGAGGAGAGCGGGAGCATTTCCCTGGCCAGTGGGCCAACTCCAGACCCAAGGGTCAGCCCCGTGGGGATGCTGGCTTCCCTCCCCCAAGCTGGTCGGCTCACCTGAGGTTCCCTTTGTTGGTGGCATACTTGATATGATTACAGATGTAGTTGAACATCCCATGAGCCGTGGTGCAGTCGCGGGCATCGAACACCTGGAAGGGGTGCATCATGGGATTGAGTGGCTCCTCCTTCCCTCCTCAGCTCCCCCGAGCCCCCTTCTCATGGGAGGAGAGCCCAGAGCACATACTCCAGCTGTACCCATCCAGTGCCTTGCCAGGGAGTCCCAGGCTGCATTTTATATTTTCTTTTTCTATCCTAATAACCACGGTTAATCAAACCTGGAAAAATCCCCTAAAAGTAGGCATGGAGTGTAAGAGAATGTGGGAAAGGGATGGTGAGTAAAGGAGGGACTTTTAACGGGCTGGCTATATTTCCTGTTAGGTTCCTAGGGATTAGGGATTTAAAAACAAAACAAACAAAAATTAAACAAAAAAACCCCTGAACTTGATAACCTGCTTCCACCTTCAAACTATTCCCCAGAAAAAAAATCATATCAGGGTGCACAGAATCTGATGCTTTCAGGGAGTAGGCAGAAAATATAAATAAGCAAAGAGTGTAGGTGGGAGACAAAAAGGAGTGGTGGGGTCTGCGGTAAACTGAAGAGTATAAGCCCTACCAAAAGACATGCAAAGACATGACCATAAGCCAGATTCGGTCATAATCGGAGAATTTGGGACCCCATGACCATCATCTGACAGTTCACCATGGCCTCCAGGCGCCCTTGGTAGGAGATGAGCTTTTTAAAGCTCAGCCCTCCCCATCCACCAAAGGGTTCCTCAAGGAAGCAGAGTCTCCTGCCCACCTGCAGCTTGGACCACTGGATCCTGCCGACGCAGCGGGAGGCGTTCCGCCAGGCGTGCTTCGCCCCGTAGATGAGCTCCGTGTCTCTGAGCTGGTAGGTGCTGGTGGTTTCGATCTCTTTGTTCACCTCTTCCAGCCGCTCCATGTGGGCTTTGGAGCCAGATCTGAGTGAGGAGGGAAGGGACATAGGAGCATCACCTTCCCTCCTGAACTAGAGGTTGGTGGAAAGAGCGAGCTATGACAGGAGCCCGAAGCCACAGCAAGTCTGAGTTGATATCTAGACACAATAGTTTAAGCATAATGCAGAGACTGCAAACTCAGATGCCCACAAAGGCCCAGTGACTGAACTGGCTGGGTGGGGACTGCGGCAAACAGGCCAGCCGTGCCTGGTCCAAAGAGGGCAGCCACAATGCTGCTCCAGCCCATTGTCGCCTGATAGGACTGGAGGCCCAGGGTTGTCAGATCTTCTTTCAAGAGAAACTAGAAATCTGATATCTAAAGGGAACTCTTCTAATTTTTTAATGTCGGCAATGAATTAAGTTTCAGAGAGTTAAAAAAAATTATTATGAAAACCTTCAGGCTTACACAAGGTATAGAGAAAAATATAATGAACACCCAAGCCTAGAAAATAAGAAATAAATAAATAAGAAATAATATTATAGTTCCCTGGGGACGACTCCCCATCATAGCCCACCTTCCTTCCAGAAGTGACCACCATTTTGAATGTGGCATTTACCATTCTTACGCTTTTGTTTATATTTCTGCCACATGTGTGTATATCCCCCAAATCACGCACAGTATTATTTCACATGTTTAAAAAGTTTATATAAATGATGCTGTCCTGAATACATCCTTCCTTCTTTTGCTTGAAGTTATTTGTGAGCTTCATTCCCATGAACGTGCAGAGCTCCAACCCATTCATTTTTTACAGCTGTATAGTATTTCATTACTTGGAAAATACCACAACTTATTTACACATTCTCCTGTCGATGGATTTGACAGGGTTTCCAGTTGGTTCTTTAATTTTCATTATTTTCCTATTATAACAACATTTCAGTGAACATTTTTAAGCATGCCATCTCGTAAACAAGTGTGAGAGATTCTTTGGGATTTAAGTGTAGCTGTGGAATGGCTTGAAATGTTTCAAATTTAAGCAATACTTTGCAGGCCAAACAAAAACATGTCTAGGGGCCGCATATGGCCCTTGGGCCACCAGTTTTCGACCTCTGCGTATGGCGAGCAGAGGCCCTACGCTCAGGCTTGAGTTCAACTGCCTGCAAAGCTGGAGCTGAAGCCTTTGTCCCCAGGATGCGGTAACTTATCCTGGGTCCCTGGAGTCGACACAAACTTGCCTTTTAATTGAGGAGTAGTACTGATCAATAAATTCTTTGGCGAGAGGGAAGAGCTGTTGCTTTGTGCGGACGTCCTCGGGCCTTCGTATGTGCTGAGAAGGGAGCATGATGGAGCCCATACAGATGTGCTCGGTGCATCCCGTTTCCTGGAAGGAAAACAGAGGTTTAGGTTACTGCTGGGTTGAACCCAAGCGTGGCACTCGTTGGGCTGCGGACCTGGCTCTGACATTTCCGGTGGAGTTTATCTGGGCTTTAATTCCTAAAAGGGACTCCTCAAGGACCAGCTTCAAATCCTTCTTGGACGTGGTCATCAGCCAGGGTAAAGAACGCTACGTGGCATTTTAAGGTTCTGAAGGTTCTCTATTCAACGGGGGGAAGAGGAGCTTTGCGAGTGGCATTTCCTGGGAATCAGAACCACTGGTACCAGATCCCAGAATATTTTTGATCCCATGTTGATGAAGAGGGAGCTAGAAGAGTGGCTACAGTAACTCATTTGCACACATCTGTGGGACGCTGATTGCAAAAAATAGCCCCAATTTTCCCCTCCTTGTATGCACACCCTTTGCACTGTGACTTGACAGGAACTCCCATCAAGGGGTGGAGCCTGGCCCCTCACCCCGTGACTCTGGGTTGGTTTTGACCAAGAGAATGTGGCAAAAGCGATGCTGTGCCCCCTCCGGGCTTGGCCTCAAGAGCTCTTGCACGCTTCTGCTCATTCTCTCAGAACCCTGCCAAGCACGTCTGCCGGAGGATGAGAGACCACAGGGAACAGAGTGGCGTTGTCCCCGCCGCGGCCAGCCTACACCAGCCTGCCCTAGGCTGACGCTTGGACGAATGCAGATGCGGGAGATCAACCGAGGTCAGCAGAACCACCCAGCCAATCTGTGGACTTTTGAAAGATAATAAGTGGAGGTTTTTTAAGACACTAAGTTTTGGGGCAGTTTGTTATTCTGCAATAGCGAACTGATACAACCTTCCTCCAGGAGGCCTGTTCTCAACAAACATTTAAAGCAACATGTTGATTTGTTGACTGTTGAAAATGCGAGATAAAAATTCAGAGGGCACATGGTGAAAGCAAGGGAGGGTCTGGTCAATATTCCATCAGTGGTCAGCCTGGGAGAGATGGAGAGAATGTCTTAGGAGCCAGTAACTCCCCTGAGAGTCTTTTGGGTACAAGGTACACGCATAGAAAGTATTTTCATGAGTGAGCGTCCAACAGTGGATCTCAAATAGAGGTGAATGTCCCATCCAGGGGACATCTGGCAATATCTGGAGACATTCTTGGTTGTCACAACATCAGGGGGCTACCGACATCTGGTGGGTACCGGCCAGGGGTGATGCTAAACCTCCTACGATGCACGGGACAGTCCCCACAGCAGAGACTTACCCATCCCCAAACGTCAGCAGTGCTGAGGCGGAGAAACCCTGGTCCACCTGCTCAGGGACACTCACCAACGTGCTCTTGAGGTGGAGGGTGTCAGTGAGAACCACGTCCGTCTCCCAGTTCTTGACCTTGAGGAAGCGCGGGCACTTGGAGGGGCTGCCATTCTTTGTGGGGGACTGTTTTCCCGAGGCAGGGGGCTGGAGGAGAGAAGGAAGATGGGACCTTAGGCAGGTCTTGAGGGCACTGGAAAGCCGTCTCCCCTGGGACGGGGAGAGGCGTTGCTCTTCCTGGAATCTACTCCGAGGTACCAACTGTCAGCACAGAGAGAGGGATCTGACTCGCCCCAGTTGACACGTGCAAGGTGGCTGGGGACCCGGTGCCTCCACCCACGCAGAAGGAGGCATGGTGGGAGAGCCTTTTGGGTTCTGTTTTGGGGAGAGGGGTCAGGAACTCAAAGGTGGTCTCTCTGGTGCTAGCAGGGACTCAATCAATGTTTGTTGAATGAATAGATGACTGAAAGGACACCAGCAGTCTCTCTGAATGATAAAAGCTCTCGGGGCCGAGGACTCAAACCTGAGCCTGGGTCAAGTTACTTGGATTTCTGGGCTTTCCTGCTACAGCCCAAACTCACCATTTCTGGCAAATACTGGGAAAACAGGTGGTTTAAATTAGAAAGGTTCAAAGCATGGAATATTTTCCCCGAATTTCAGGTTTCTGCCTCTCAAAAATGTGAAGCGTGTCCCTGCCTCAGGGCCTTTGCACTTATGGTTCCTTCTGTCTTGAACTCCTTCCTTCCCTCATTTATCTTCACCTCTCTAAACAAACTGCCCAGTGGGTGGTTGGGGATGAGTCGTGGGCTGACCAATGTTGGCCTGTGCATTTTAGACCTCATCCATAAGGATCACATTCTGTCTTAGGTGTTTCTGAGTCACTGTCTACCCGCCTGGGCAGAGGTGCGCCCGTGCATCAGATAAGCATCAGTCAGTCAGCAGCTGAGGGAGAGGCAGCAGGTGCACCCTGATGTGCTAGCTGAGCAGGGGAGGGAAGACGAGCTGATGTTGAGTGATGCTCACACCAAAGAGTAGAGCAGTGGGCTGTGACCTGGAGGCAGCATTCACGCTCTCAAACTTTTATTTATTGAGCACCTACTCTGTGCCAGCCACTGTTAGGCACTTATGACACTGTGGTGGACATGACAGACGTGGTCCTTGCCCTTCTGGAACATTGTTGTGGGAGAAGTGGAGATAAATAATAAGTAAACTAACACAGACAACAGAGTTTCAGGTGGTGATGAGAATGTAAAACAGAGGGAGGTGATGATGACCAAGTGGAGGGGAGAAAGGCACATGCAAAGGCCCTGAGGCGGGAAGGGTTGGCTAGGTTCCACGGACCAGCACAGAGGCCAGTGTGGCTGGAGTGTCTGAGTGAGGATGAGTGCAAGGAGATGCAGGCAGGCAGGAGACAGGGTCCACATCTTTTCAGCTTGGAGGAGCTCAGGCTGGTGAGGGAGCTGTGAATTAAGGTGAAATGGGTTAAGTCCAGCACAGAAACCACAGAGAACTCTGAAGGACTAATACTGAAAACTAGCATTCAGGGAGCACTTACTTTGCACCAAGCAACAGCCTTATCATCCCCATTTTACAGATGAGAAAATGGAGGCACAGAGAGGTTAGCTAAGTTGTCTAAGACCACAGAGCTAGTACGCTGGAGCCTGGAGTCAAATGCAAGCCGTCTGGCTCTCAAACCATGCCCTTAACTGCTTGACTATCCTGCCTCTTGGCCATTATGCATAATTCACTCACTCATTCATTCAACATATGTTTATTGAGTATCTCCCATGTGCCACGCAAGGTGGCAAGGGCAAGGGCTACAGTGACAAACTAGACAGACATGATCTCCCCTCGTGGAGATCACAGTCCAACGGGGGGTGCCAATAATTTAATGAGCTGTTGTAATGAGTGCAATGGGTGCCGTAACATGGGACGTTGGCAGCGTACAGGGGACGGTGGAAGCGCACAGAAGAGACACCTAACCCAGAGCATTTGACCTCTAAGTCAAGACCTGAAGGACAAGTAGGTGTTAACCAGGCAAAGAAAGAAGAGCAGGGTCTTGCAGGGAGCTAGAACAGCTTGTGCAAAGGTCCTGAGGTGAGAGGCATATCATAGCCACCCTTCTGGCCAGTGTAAGAGGAGCTCTGTGCTAAAATATCCATGCAGCATGTTGGAGTTTGGGGGAGAAGAGGCAGGCGAACAGGACGCCACTGTTAAAGATTGTTCCAGAACAGTGCAGGGAGCGACGGCCAGGAACAAAGGGAAGGTGCTATGACTCACGGTCCTCCACACCTCCCCGCCCTGGGCAGACCCAGTCATCCCCAGTGGTTCCCACCTCAGGGCTGGGCACCACCACCCATCCATCTGTGCAAGCCACAGGTGGGAGCCGTCCTGGACCTCCTCCCCTTTCTCCCCTGCCCCTAATCCAGCCCTGACTTCCATGATGTTAGCCTTCTCAGGAGCTCTACACTCCATCCACTCCTCTGTTGGAGCCACCACCATCTCCCCCTGGGATGACGGCAGTCCCCTGAACTTGGCCATTACTGATGACTCCTGGGGTCATTATGCTGCTGCCACGAGTGCAACTTCTAGTCCTATTCCTACTAGTACTACGGCTGCAAGTATTATTACTACAGTACCTCCCTGGGAGCCAGGGCAGGAGCATCTGGAGTCCTGCCTTCATTCCTCATTGGTGCTGTCTATCGTGCTAAGCTCTGAGTTATTTTGCTTATGTCCCCGTGTGAAGACGCATTTGAATGGCCCCTCTTCCTTTGAAGGTCTGGCCGGACATCCTAAAACTTCCTTAGGTTTCTGTCTCCTCCAGCAGACATGCAGGTGACGGAAGTCACATCTGGGCAGGCCTTTGTTGTGACCAATGCCTCTGACTGTGTGGACACCCTGCATCCTTGAGAAAAAAAACATCCTACCTTGCCCATGTGGGAGGCACCCCAGCCATCCTCCCCAAATACTAGGCATTGCTCCTTTCCGAGCTCTCTCAGCCACACACATTAACGCCCTGGAGTCTGAGAGCAGCTGGAATCCCAGAGGGGGGATAACAGACGCAGTGTAGGCCGTGGGGTTGGGCCCAGGGCCCAGGGACAGGGTGGGAGGGATGGGTGGGGAGTGCGGTGAGGCGGGAGGAAGAGGTGTGGGGTGTGGCCGGTGGGTGGGCAGCCGGCAGCTTTCGTTGGCAGGGAGCAGAGGGAGCGAGGCAACAGGCCTAATAAAAGGGGCCACCTGTCGAGGTTCCAGATGTGCGAGGGGTGGTCATGACGAGTCGAGTAATCGGGGCCCGAGCGCGAGCTGTGCCCTCTCCACGCTGGGCTGCGGGAACCGCACACTTGAAACCAGGCATCAGGAGGCCGCTGGCAGGGCTGTTGTACTTGGGCCTTCGATGTTTTAATTAGCCAGCAGTCATATTAGGTGACTCAGGAGGGGACGAGCGGGAGATTAATACGGCAGTCAGAGCCCCTGCACGGGGGATGCAAATGACTTTTCTGAGTGGGGACTGAAGTGCTCACGCTAAAAATGCAGATTAGCGGTACTTGTATGCATTATGCTGGGGACACGGCTGTGGCTATGTGTGTCCTTTTCTGGATTCATGTCCAGGGTGGACTATGGAAGCTTCTCGGGTGGCAGAGACACTGACTCCATCTCAGGGGGTTTGTCAGGTCTGCCTGGGACGCCCACTCCCAAATTTGGAAAGGAGGCTCCAAGCTTGCGGGCATTTCAAGGGCTGTGTCAACACCTCTTGCTTTGGGAGCCTGCAGAGACCCTGAGGAACTAGAAGGAAACGGTCTTGCAGCCCAAGAGGAGACAGCGAGGTGAGGTGGTGTCAACCTGGGGCCCCGTGCCAGGAATTCAGTTTTGTAGGATCCGTGACACCCTGATTCCTTCCCCGCTCTCCTTCCCTCCTTCAACAAATCCATATTGAGTACCTACTGTGAGCCAGGAACTTGTGTTGCAGGCCCTACAGTGGTCCCCATTCTCATCTCACAACTGGGAGAAGCATCTTGCAGCTGCGAGCTCTAAAGCAGGGCTCTGCAAACTGCGGCCCGCGGGCCAAATCTGGCCCACCGCCCATTTTGATACAGCCCACGAACTAAGAATGGTTTTTCCATTTCTAGCTCATTGAATAAAAAAATCAAAAGAAAAATACTGTTTCGTGACACATGCAAGTTAGACGACGTTCAAATTTCACTGTCCACAAATAAAGTTTTATTGGCACACAGCCACGCTCATTTGTTTCTATACCGTCTATGGCTGCTTTTGAATACAACGGCAGAGCGGGGAGCTGCGATGGAGACCAAGATCACAGGGCCCGCAAAGCCAAAAACATTTCCCATCTTGCCCTTTACAGAAACAGTTTCTGCACTCCTGGCCTAAAGGATCAAATTCCAGTAGCTGAATTCTAAGTTATCTTACTTACGTCTCCATCTGCTTACATGTCGCTGCATTAGAGATCTTTCCAGATCATTCTTTAAAACAGTGCCCGACCCCTGTGCCTCTCTGCTCCTTCACGACCTCTATAATGCTTTCTTTTTATTCATCGCACTTAGCACTGCCAACGATTGTTGGGAGTGTATATGCATTTGCACGTGAATGTATATATCTCTATATCTTACAGATACAGATTTATATGTCACTATAGATATTTAGACCTAGATATAGTTGTCTGCCTACCCCCTGCTCATTTTGCCCCACCTCCAGCCCCTACACCAGTGCCCAGCACATGGTACATATCCAACAAATATCTGAACTTGGCTGTGAATTGAATTTTTTCCCTCCCGAATTCCTATGTTGAAACCCTAACCCCTAATGTGAGTGTATTGGGAGACAGGACCTTTAAGAGGTAATTAAGGTTACATGAGGTCATAAGGGTGGCACCCTAATCTGATAGGATTGGTACCCTTATAAGAAGAGAAAGAGACATCCTTTCTCTCTCTCTCCCTGCACATGCACAGAAGAAAGGCCATGTAAGGAAGCAGCAGGAAGGCGGCCATGTGCAAGCCAGGAAGAGAGGCCTCGCCAGAACCCGACCACACTGGTGCCTTGGTCTCTGACTTCCAACCTCCAGGACTGTGAGAAATGACTTTCTGTTGTTTAAGTTGCCCAGTCTGGTATTTTATTATGGCAGTCTGAGCTGA